GACTGAGAGGCAGGAGCCAGAAGAGCCCGCGCGGGTCGGCGCCGCTCGCCGGGCTCGCGCGGGAGAGGAGGGGAGGAGAAACTTTGCATTTTATTGTTGTTTTAGTCCTTAAGTGCCAGGAACTCTGTTGGGAGGAAAAATGTCCTTCTTCAATTTCCGTAAGATCTTCAAGTTGGGGAGCGAGAAGAAGAAGAAGCAGTACGAACATGTGAAGAGGGATTTGAACCCTGAGGAGTTTTGGGAAATTATAGGAGAATTGGGTGACGGAGCCTTTGGGAAAGTGTACAAGGTAAGAGAAAACGGGAAGTTAGTTGCACTTGGAAGGTAAAACAGCCACTGGCCCGGAGTGGCACTGGGATTTACCGTCCTTCTTGTCCCTTTCTCTTTTTGAGTTCGTGAACGTACATTGGAACTTTACTTAGGTTATCGTCCAAGGAGCAGCTAAGACAGTAGGGTTTAAAGTTGAACAAAATTGGGTCTGGACGTAGTTTAAAGAGTGATTGCTAAAGGGAGGCAAGGTTATAATGTCTGCTGTCAAACTTTAGAGGAAATGATGATGTTCTTTAAAGCTCGGGTCAGGCTGTGGCCCTCAAGTGTTTTAAAATCATTGTGCTTGTAGAAACCGATACTTTTCAGTAGACTTATATTTGTCTACTTGCTATTTGCAGTCATATGTGTGCTTTTCCGAAGACATTTTCTTTTTTAGGGTCCAGGACATATAGCAGTGTCTATAGCTAACACATAACCAGTCTCTTGGGGGTGAGAACATAGTGATTGCTACTTGCAGACTATTTTTGAGTTGGTCGCTTGACAACATACTGTAAAATGGAATGGAATTTCTGATAGAAAATTTCCAGAAGAAAACCTGCGTCTGGTACTAGTTTCTAAATGTAATTATAGTGAGCATTGACTAGAAGTCAATACCAGCTCTTAAGAAATTAAAAACACACACAGCATATATATATATGCATATATATTTATTTCAGTAGAAAGAGGTTTGATGTTTCAACCTGAAGGCATTATTATTAACTGTTTACTGCCTCATAAGGAGTATAGGAATGAATGATGTCATTGGAATATTTTCATCCTGAAGGGTGAGGTTATTATGAGACACAGGTTAGGGGGAAGGACCCACAGGTTGCCTAGAAGTGAAAACGTAAATAACTTCTGTTTATATGGGACTTTTCAGTTTTTAAAAAGTACTTTCACATAATTTGGCCCCCAAAAGCCTTGTGAGGTAGGCAAGTCATTTCATAGATGAGGACACAGACTCAGAAATTGTTCGAAGTCATAGTTTAGATTTGAACTCAGGTCTTCTGACCCCATGTTTACTATTGTTTTTTGCTTTAATGTCCATTGGTAAAAATGATAGCATTTTCCTTCCTTTCTAAGCTCCATCCACTTCTACCTTTGCCCTGCTTCAGATACATCTCACTGTCCCTAGTCTTTCTCGTTCTTTATTCAGGCTGAACTATCCACTCCTCTATGTGTGCTTTCAGAACACATTGTTCACCTGGCTGCTATGGCACTTGTCACATATTATTGTTAATGTGTTTGTGTTTTTATGATAAGACCAGGGCAAAAATTATGATGTACATCTGGATTCATCAGTTGTCTTTGCACATAGTCCATCTCTCAAGACATTTGCTAGAAGAATGTGTGTTACCTACATGGGAGTGCTTATTGAAATTATTTAATGCTGTGAAAGTGGGCAAAGTAAACTTCAGAGGGTAAAGTATGGGTTTCAGCAAGAGCTTACTGTATAGATGTATGGTAGGAAGGGCTTTTAGTGAAGTGAGATCACTCTTGAGAGTAAAGAATTGTGTTTTAGTGCTGGCTGTCACAAACCAGCTTTGTGATCTTGGACAGAACACTTAACTTCTCTGAACCTCTGTTTTCTTAGCTGGAAAATGTTTGTTCAGATTTCTTTACCCATTAACACTCTGTGAGTATGCAGTTATTTAGGAAAGGCAAAAATAAATCCTCGAGGCATCTAGAATCCAGTAGTTAGAAGGCAGTAAGTGATTATGGGCAGTTTTCATGGTATAAATGTTTTATTTAATAGGAACACTGTACTATTAAGACACTAGCTCTAGAATTGTACTATATCTGGGCTCCTTCAATAGCAGCCTGTGAGCTTAGACAAAGTACTTAATCATTCCATGTCTCACTTTCTTCATCAATAAGACCTACTCCTCAGTGTGTGAGAATTAAAGGAGATAATAAGTATAAGGCACATAAAAAGGGCTCAGTAAATGGTAGAAATTACCATTATTACGTTTACAGCTCAGAAGCAAAATATAGGATGGGATAGGAAAAGGGACCTATGAAGATAGTGAGTCATTTTCCTATTTTCCCATGGCACAGAATGATTGTGTGGGCATACTAATGCTCTGTGATTTCATTAATGACTCTTTCTGCAAAGTGTAACATATCTTTTTACAATGAGATATCAATTGAAAATTTTCTGAAAAAGAGACTTATTCTATGTAGTCGAACACTATAAAATTGTGTCAAGGATAATTTTTGTGGTCTTGATTATTTTACTGTGGTATTTGTAGAGCATAAATTCTTTGCATCTTTTCATTTCACTCTTCTGTGCTTCTAGGGCTCTGAGATTTTTTAAAAAAGAAAATTTAAACTCACCTGACCTGCTTTACCTCTTTTTCCTGGAACTTTTTGTTTTCCAAGATACTCTAGAAATTTTAAGTTTATAAACTTCCTTCTGCGTGGGGGAAAAAGCTATCAAACCTTAATGTTGTGGGCAGTAGAAAACTATTTGTAAAATTGGTTCTGTCATTTGCTTATGGAAATTAGTAACCGTTATAAAGATTAAATTGTAAGTAGGCAATCATCTTGTGTACTTAGTTTATTTGAAACATTTTCCAACATATAGTTGTATTCTTTCCATTCAGTTCAGCACTACACAACTCTGTGTTATTTTTGTACTTGAAAAATCTTCCCTATTTTTAATTTATTTTCTCTTTTTCTAAGTCTCTGACTTATCTATTTTTATTTTTCTTTTTTCTCTTTTCAATATAGTATTATTCGACATACAAATGAATATATAACATCCCTCTTTTTTTTTTTTTTTTTTGCATTTGGATTTCTGTTGTCTTTAACAGAAGAAAAAAGGACTGACATAAAATTATATATTGAATTGAAGCCGAACTCCTGACTGTGTACTGGATGAAAGTGATTGTTTTATGGCACTGATGACATGCACCTTTTTTTTAAAAAAAAAAAAAACCTGAAATATATAACCTTTGTATTGAAATGTACAAAAACATGTACATTTAGCAAATAATAATAAAGTAAACTCCTATTAATCATCAAAGTCAGGGAATTCTACTAGTACCCCAGAATCCCTCCCACCTCTGTTCTTAATTGATCCCTCTCTTCTCGTAAAGGAAACCACTATCCTATCTTTAAGTTACTAATTTCTTTGCTTTTCTTTATAGCTTACCATCTAGATATGTATCCATAAACATTATAAATTTAGCTTTTTATGCACTCGAACTTTATTTGAATGGAATCATATTGAGTGTATTCTTTTTGTGTCTTGCCTCTTTCAAAATCAGCATTATGTTTGTGAGGTTAATCTTTGTTATCACCTGGAGCTGTAGTTAGTTCATGTTCATTATAGCATAGAATTCCATTATATGGTTATATCACCAGTTATTTACCATTCTGCTGTTAACGAGTATATTAGTTGTTTCCAGGTTTTGGCTTTTATACACCAAACTGATGCATATATGCATAAGATTTGCTAAGACTTAACTCAGGAGTAGAATTGTTGGGTTATAGGGTAGTGTATCTTTAATTATACTAGATGATGCCAAACTACACTAGTTTACACTCCCACCAGCAGCATATGAGAATTTCTTTGCTCTCCATCCTCGCCAACATTTGGTGTTGTCAGAATTTTTCAGTTTTGGCAGTCTGATGTTTATATATATATGTATTTATTGTGGTTTTAATTCACTTTTCTCTGACTACTAATAAGTAATTCTTTTAATAGGTTTATTGGTAAATTGGATTTCTTCTTTTGTGTTCAAGTCTCTTCATGTTTCTGTTCTATGTCTTTTTCTTGTTTATTTGTAGTATATTTTGGATTTTAACCATTTGGCAAATCACATTTCTACCTTGCCAGCTGTTCACTTTTAGTTTTCATAAGTATGGAGCACTAGAGGGAGGCTGCAGAGAGGAGGAGGAAGAGAGAACTTGGCTTTTCTCTGTTTCCTGTGGGCTTCTTGTCTGTTTCCCTGTTAGTCTTACCACCATCCTAGTGGAAATTCTTCATCCCAGCAAGAGCAGTTGAATCATTTGTAGTTTTTCCAACACTCACAGAGCTAATATCATAACCCTTCATAATGCCAGCTTCAGTTGGCTGGTCCCCTCTTTTTCAAAAGGTGTCCTGGTTCCATGTGACCCCTCTTCCAAGTTCAGAGATGCTGGCAGCAGCCAAGTAGCACACTCTCCTCAGGGATCTGAGTTTCAGCTCTGCAGAACCTTTCCTCTAAGCTTTTGAGTTTCAATAATTCTAGTTCCTTCCCTTGGTTCCTCTGGTCCTAGGGTAGTAGCTTTTTCCTGCAGTTGTTACCTCCCTGACCCTTCACCTTTTCTAATTTTTTAGTTACCTAGTTAACAAGTCAACCATTATATTAAATTCTCTCTATTAAAATAATCAATATGATTATTTCTTTTGGCTGAACCTATCGATACAAATATTAAATAAGTTAATAAATGGGGAGTGCAAAGAACAGTGCTTGGCACAATGTAATTGCTCAATGAATGATATCTAATAGCATAATGCATACTATTATATAGAATAGCATACTTGAAATAATTGGAAGTTTTTATACCTTATTTCTTTGCAAAATACTAAAATTTCCAATTTAACTACATAGCTCAAAAAAGCAAAGATGATAATTGAACTTTATTGATACCGATATGCTCAAATAACATCACCTCAGTGAAGTCTAACTTAACTACGCTATTTAAATTGTAATTTCTTCCCTGTATACCCCCCATCTCCTCATCTTTCTTATTACCTTACTTTAATTTTTCCGGAGTACTTATCACTAACATACTCTCTTTTCTTATATGTCTTCTCCCCACAATTATAAGTGCCATGAGTGCAGAAGGATTTTGTGTATTTTTTACACTGTCAGCATCTGGAACAGTGCCTGACATCTAGAAGGTACTCAGTAAATATTTTTTGAATGAACAAATTGATCATAGCAGACCAATTCTTGAGCATGCTTTAATAGATTTTTATACTGCATTTCTTTCTGAGAACAAATTTTTGTGGGGTGCCGTGTTTGTCTTTGTGTTTTCTACATCTTCAGCTAATGCCTTGCATGTAGTAAATGTTCATAAACTGTGATTTGGTTGGTTTAGTTTTTGTATTTTCTTATGGTTGAATGTTTTTATACACTGGACTTTTCTTGGTAGGAGGAGGAATACCTTTGAGTTCTCAACCTTGAGATCAAATCATTCAAATTAATAGAATCAGTCCCAGTGATTACTAAAGTGTTTGGGTTCATCTCTCTTTCTTTTTATTCTTTGTCTTTTAGATTCTTTTTGTATTCATCTTATTTTTTTCCCTCCCCTTTTTGATTGACTAACACCTTTGTAGTACTAAGGTCATCTATATTTTCTGTGCTTGGTCTTTCAATTTGTAGCTGAGAATTTTATTAAAATATATTTCTCATTGTGAAAGTATTATATAGTCTTGAAATGTAGAAATATAGGAAGAAAATAAATGAAAATTTAAAAATTACTTATATTGTCACCATCCGGGAAAGTAACCGCTGTTGAAACAAGAGCATTATAAGAGGATGTAATTTTTACCCTGATTTGTTTAGAACATGAAACCAGTACAGGAAACTTAATAAGTTATGTTTTTCTCTAGCCCCCTATTTGTTTATGTAGAGTGGTCAAGTTCTATTTGTGATTCATGAAAACAAAAACATAGTGATTTTTAAATGATCATGACTGATCTCTGAAAACTTTTTATCAATATAAGTTATATCTTCTTTAAAGTAATATCTTGGCATCCGTTATTCAATTTTTGTTTTTATTAACATTAGTTATTTCGTTGTCTTTATGTCAAAAATTGTCATGCTTTTCGTTAGTAAATTAATGAGACTGTTTCTTTTATCACTTTATATCTATTATATTTGTTTAAAATAGTTTCACATGGTTATCAATTTTTATTTCAGTTTTGATTTTCAGAGTTCTCTGGTACTAGATACTGGTAAATCAAGTTATTTTCAAGCAACAATGTAGGAGGCACTATACTTTCTAATGTAACTTTTATTTATTACTTATGTTAAACCAAATGGTCCCATTGTTGGTTTAATCACTGTATCTAGGGGAATGGAATAATGAAATTTGCTACTATAAAGAACTTTAGAGATCGTCGAGTGTTAGTTATTTCTCCCCCTTCACGCCATTCTATTCAGAAGTAAAAGATACATCTTTAAAATCTCTCAGCACATCAGTAGAAGCATGAAGAAGTAGGATGACTTTTAACTCCACTCAGAATATGCTTGGTCTCCTACCAGGGCTCATATTTTATAATGTTCCTCTTCAAGGACAGTTCCTCTGGTCTCTTTCTTCCTAAAGTGTTACATAAAAATGATAAGAGAAGGGCTTATCTGTCACTGACTTATTTCCTCTGAATAAGGGAGGGCGAGTTCTAATTATTATTGGCTCAATTGTAGGTATCTTCCTTAGAGAAAGAAACTTAATGGCTGTATTTTACCAGTTATGATAAACTGTTTGCTTTTTAACATCTCTGAAATTGGGATATATCCTTTACTGATCAATGCCTTAGTATTATTGTTGGCCGGGTTGAGGTCATGATATGTCTGTCATTGAACTTAGTTGTACCCCCATGTCATACAGTTATAGTCCTTTGATGTTTCAATTAATAAACTATTTGAGGACCTTTTGAAGAAAGAAGGTAAGTCCCGATTGTTACCTAAACATCTTTTAGCACCCGTGGTAAGATCAAGAAAGTAGTATGAGCATTTTGCAAAATGGGAGACAGTGGCTTCAGAGAAAATTTTGGAGACAAGTAGCAGAGGAGCAGTGCTGCTTCACCAAAGCTTTTAATGGCCAGAGAATGATACTGTGTGGAAAACACAGACATTAGATAACTCTGAATGAAAAGTAATTTAGAAGAGTAAAACTTAAATATTAGTACTTAATTTTTCATTATGCACAGATTATAGATATGCAATAACAAATTTTGTCTAAACATGTCCAAATGAGTTTTTTAAAAAAGGCATAACATAGAAATTCTAAAAAATAAAGTGTAATAGTTTGTTGGAAGTTTTTCTTTCTTAGTGAAATATAGGATAATGGTGCATCTTAAAAGGCATCTTATATTTTATAAAATGTAGTAGTTTAGAATATTCTTCTACTGTGGTAGTGAGGACCAGTATAAAGTTATCTTTTTATTCGTAACATGTTCTCTGAACCCCAAACGTTAGGGTTATTTAATTAGTAATTAGTATTTTTGCCTCTGTTTTTCCCTAAGGAAGTAAAACAGCAATAATGTACTTAGAAAATGTTAAACAAAAAACTTCATAGCCAAAAGTTTTTTGAAAGAAAGGTTTTATTGGGCCAAGTGTTAGCCAGAATAGGACCAGATCCTGGAGCATGAAGTCAAACTACCAGCAGCATGGATAAGCTAGATAGAAAAGACAAACATGCGTGCCTTACTGGCATTGATGGGCACTTTTAGACATTCTGTTCTAGGGAAGAAAGATGTAAGATTTTTAGGAAGAATTTACATTGGCTACAGATAAGCAAGATGGGACGAGGTAAAGTGGGAGTAGTTCTATGATAGGTATACATTCTGTAAGGAAAAAATATTTACTGCTTTTGATTGGTTAGGGCAACAGTCCTGAAAGTTGCGTAGTATGCAGTAGTGTCTAGTGATCAGCTAATAAGACTCTCGAGGTTGATTCAAAGCTCCAGCATACATTCAAGAATATGAGCAGTCTTTTGTGAGTTGTGCCACAGCTATTATTGGGTGAATTATTCCCGTCTCTCTCACTCTCCTGTCTGCTGTAATTTAGGACATCTCAGAATTTTTCTCTTGACAAAAAAATTCCTAGGCTGATACCTGCTTTGTTTATTTTCTTCATCATCATTACCAATGTTAGATGATAGATTACTAAGAAATCTCTCATATACTGATTTTTAAGTACTAATTGCCTCTATAAAAATGATACTTGTCCATTTTTAAAAGATTAAACAATATGTCTACAGCCATGCCACCCTGAACAAGCCCGATCCCGTCTGATCTCAGAAGCTAAGCAGGGTCAGGCCTGGTTAGTACTTGGATGGGAGACCACCTAGGAAGACCAGGTGCTATAAGTGTAAAAAATAAAAAGTAAGGGATTGTAAGCTGACAAGGTCCTTGCAATCTCTGAGGTCAACCAAGGGTAGCCTTGCCTAAAAAAAAAAAAAAATTAAACTTTTTTTTATAAAAAATTAAACAATATGAAAAATAATAAAAAATCAAAAGCGCCTGAAATTCTACCATCCTCACTAATGCTGTCTTTCCATTTACTGCTTATGAAGCTCTTCATATGTGAAAATGGATGTGTAGTTTCTGTAAAATTACATCTCTCTCATGTTTAGTAATTTGCCTTTTTTCCCATTCAGTGATGTTTTATGGCTGCTATTTTATCTTAAGAAATATTAATTAGCCAATTAATTTTAATGACTGCATAATGTTCCATTGTAGAATTATATTGAATTATATAAGCAGGTTCTTGTGACTAGACATTTAGGCTGATTCATTTTTCCTTACTGTAAGCATAGCTTTGGTGAATATTTTTATATAAGCATATTTTTATTATATAAAATTATCTCTTTACCATAAATTCATGAAAGTAGGATTTGGACATTTATTTATTTATTAAAATACTTATAAGTAGCTTTTAAAAGTTTGGTATTTTTTTCTTAATAGATGCAGTTTTGCTGAAGTGATATAATAATATTGAAATGTCTTTTAAAAACCTAATTAGTATTTTATGATCTACTTAAGATACGCACTTAGCATAATGCATAGCATGCATTAGTTAATATTTATGTTTAGGCTATCTTTTAAAATAAGTATGTCAAAAGAATGAGAAGACAAGCCACTAACTGGGAGAAAATATTTGCAAAAGACATCTGATAACATATAAAGAACACTTGAAACTCAATAATTAGAAAACCAACAAACTGGTTTAAAAAATAGGCAAAAGATCTGTACTGGCATCTTACCAAAGAAGATATGTAGATGGCCAATACACATATGGCGAAAATCCAAAACACTGGCAACACCAAATGCTGGTAAGAATATGGTGCAACAGAAACTCTCATTCATTGCTGGTGAGAATGCAGAATGGTTCAGTCACTTTGGCAGATGGTTTGGCAGTTTCGTACAAAACTAAACATTTTTACCTTATTATCCAATAATTGGATATTTACCCAAGGAATTGAAAACTTATATCCTCACAAAAACCTGCAGATGTATGTTTATAGTAGCTTTATTCATAACTGCTGAAACTTGGAAACAAGCAAGATACCTTGAGTAGGTGAATGGATGGCATACCTGTATAACGAATTCAGTGCTAAAAAGAAATGAGCTATCAAACCAAGTAAGACATTGAGGAACCTTAAATGCATGTTACTACATGAAAGACACCAATTTGAAAAGGCTACATACTGTATGATTCCAACTATATGACATTCTGGCAAAGCACAACTATGGAGTAAAAGATCAGTGGTTGCCAGAGATTAGGAAGGGATGAATAGATAGAGTATAGAGGAATTTTAGGGAAGTGAAACTTCTGTATATTGGTGCATACATGTCATGCGTTTGTCGAAACCCATAGAATGTACTCCCAAGAGAATGAATCTAAATGTAAATTAAGGTCTGTGGGTGATCATGATATGTCAATATAGATCATCTGTTGTAACAAATGTACCATTCTGGTGTGAATTCTTGATAGTGGGGGAGGCTGTGCATGTGTAGAAGTGGGGAGTATATGGGAACTCTCTGTACTTTTTGCTGAACTTTGCTGTGAACCTAAAACTGTTCTAAAAAAGAATGCTTATTTAAAAAAATAGTAAAATTAAAAAAAAAAGTCTGCATTGTGACATTTCTGATACTTTCGTTTTTAGGCCCAGAATAAAGAGACCAATGTTTTAGCTGCTGCAAAAGTGATTGACACCAAATCTGAAGAAGAACTTGAAGATTACATGGTTGAAATTGATATCTTAGCATCTTGTGATCACCCAAATATAGTCAAGCTTCTAGATGCCTTCTATTATGAGAACAATCTTTGGGTAATTATTTTCTGTTGATCTATAGGAGTGGTCAAAATGATTTCATTGTCCTAAAGAGGTTTATTAGTTGTGAAAGTCTACTTTATGTTTTACTTTTTCTTTTTAGTTACTTGTGTTACTTTAATGAGAGTTGGCCAGCTGATGAAAGCATCATTAACAACATAATTATCCTTAGCTTCAACAGATATTCAGATGTATATTTCATTTTGTACCATATTTCATGATTATTTGACATTGGAACCAAATGGAGAAACTTTGTTAAGAATGTTAAATTTCCTAAATTATGAAATTAGATGGCCTTTTCTTGTAATTTAAATCTAAGCATTTACTTGAAAAGTTTTAAATATTTCTTTTGTTCTCTTAGAAATTATTTATAATTTTCTTATCTTAAACTTTTTTTAAATCATGTAATAAACTATAAAATGCTTACTAGAAATGTTAAATATTTATTTTCTATATTATTAAGCCCAGCTTTAGTACATGATGTAAGTGGTTAAGGCTGTATGTATAAATTTGGTTTATTCTTAGAGAATATTAGGCACAAATAGATACAGAAATAAAATATTAATATTCATTATAATAACCAGTCACTTCCTTTGTACCAACTCTAAACAAGAGTGCTTTTTGAAACAGTTTTCATTTTTCTCTTTGAAGGAAGAAACAGAGTGTTATGGGAGAAGAGTAGGTAGGACAAATAATACCTGACTGGGAATCAAAAGGCCTGTATTTTTTGATCCTGGTGCTGGTAGGTAGGAGCTTCAATAAGTTAATTAACCCTTATGAGTCTGTATTTCCCCACAAGGATGAGTAATGATCTACCTCCCAAATTATTTTTCAAATGATATAATGCATTTGAAAAAAATTTTGTAATTGATAAGCATCTGTAAAAAAAATCAAGTGTTATTATATACAGGGAAAACAAAGCAGGAAGCTATAGAATTTGTTAAGATATGTAATTTAAAAAAATTATCTATAGTTATTATTAATGTCATATCTTCTAATATAGTTGTTCACGGCTCTAGCAGAACATTTCCAGAGATTGTAATAAAATGAACTCCTAGACAATTTAATAAATAGATAAGATCTTTACTCAAGACTCATAAAATAAAAAGTTAGACAACTGTGAAGGGACAGTCTGGTGAGAGAGATAGATAATAATTAACCAAAGAATCATAGTAAATAGAAATTTACAACTGTGATAAGGGTTAAGGAAAGGTACCTGGTAGTATGTACCAGGGAGGTCTGGAAAGGCATCCATCAGGAAGTGATAATTGACCTAGGATCAGAAGGTTTTGTATATGTTTTTTTCTATTTTTTTTTTAAACTAAAAGTCTATATTTTCAGGATTTATTCCTATTAGTAAAGTTAAAAAATATATTTGGTCACTTAAATCACAACAGTTACCTTAAAAATGAGAGTAATAAAATCTTTTAGTGGTGATGAAATGGATATATAATACTGTTCTGAAGAAAAATTCTGTACCTTGTTATTTTAGAGAAGCAGGAACACTAAAAATGATGATTAACAAAAATGCACATACTTGCAGAATGTATTCTCTTTGTGCTTTCTCCAGTGTATATCATTAAGACTCGTAACACTTTTGACAAAGAAAAGTTTTATGGTCAGCAGCATAACACTGTTTTCATAACTTGAGTTATTTGATAGCTGTTTATCTTTTTTGCTGAGTCAAAGAAAAAATACTCAAACTCAATGTTGTGTTAGACACATGCTTTTTTATTTGTCCACAGATCCTCATTGAATTTTGTGCAGGAGGAGCAGTCGATGCTGTGATGCTTGGTAAATACCTTTTTTCCTTTGTTTGTATCTTAAATTATACTTAATAAAAGTGAAAGGATTTAAAACATTTATATGTTGATATCTTATTGTTAAGTGAAGTTCAGTCAATTAAGAAGTCCGCTTAACTCTATTTTTCTTGGATAATTGTAATAAAGTTCTAAAATGAAATATTGAGTATAACATGTAAAGAAAAGTCTTTGTAGATATTTAGTTCTTCTAGAATAAATTCACTGTATATGATCCTTGATAGTGATGGTGAAGTTACATAGCTTGCCGATATGTTTTCACTGAATAAAAAATGCAGATTTGTTTACTTTTTCCTTATAGAACTCGAGAGACCATTAACTGAGTCCCAAATACAAGTAGTTTGTAGACAGACCTTAGAAGCGTTGAACTACTTACATGATAACAAAATCATCCACAGAGATCTAAAGGCTGGCAACATTCTTTTTACCTTAGATGGAGATATTAAGTTGGGTAAGTTTATTCCCTTAAATAAAACATTTGATTTGTGCTCTGAGATTTCTTTTCCCCTGTATATATGTGACTTAATTATTGTTTTGTTATAACTCAAATATGTGAAAAATGAATTACTCTCAATTAATTTTTTAAATACTTCCTTAGATAAGTAATTATTCATTAACTCCCAGAGTTCCAAAGTATAGTCATCTAATATAAAGACATTTTAAAAAGAAAGTAAGAAAGGATGGATAAAGGCAAGCTTTTAAAAACTGGTTCTTTTTTCCATTAAATTTTTGTATGTAGACTTAATATTTATTAATATAATACATTTGGAGTATGATATAGCATGTAAAACTGCTAGTTTTATCTTTAATTCTGAAACTCATGTCTAATGAGATTCTTTTTTCATGTTTATTATTTAGTTTTATACTTTATTTTATGCATACCTTGGCTAAACTAACAGTAACTAACCATAGAACTGAAAAGGATACCTAAAACAAGTATAAGGACTACAGTTTTTACTTTTGTTTTTTAAGTGGGAGAATAAGTGAAACTTCGTCAGAAGAAATAGATGTAGATTTAAATGGGAACTTAATTAATTTTATACACACACAAATGGAAGATACAGCCCTCTTTAAGTATACCCAAGATATGAATTAAAAAAAATCTGGTGATGAAGTCTAAATTTATGTATTTTGAAAGCATATTAAAAAGACAAAATATATTCAAAGGCGATGTTGATAGGAGTAATCATAGTCGTTTTACTTCACTTTGTCATGACATCTAAACAGGTATTATTTGATATACTAAATTTTAACCTTTTTATTATGAAATAAATACAGATATAGAAGACTACACAATTTTGTACCTTAGTTCCTTTGCTTAAGACAATGAATTGGTTCTCTCTCATCCTGACCAGTATTTTTTAAAATGTTGGTAACCAGTATTTTTTAAAATGTCATTATTAATTCATAAATTCATTTTATTTTATAGGCTTCAAATCTGTTGCAGTTTTTATCTTTATTTAAGCTAACATTGTACCATCTTTGGTGAATGGGAGTTTCTTCAAGTTGGCTTGTCAGTCTTTTTGACATGAGTCAAAGCTTCGATAGCTTCCTTATTATCTATTAGGTTGAGATGTTTCAGGCTCATATTGTATGTTTCCTGCCTCAGACCTGTGATTAGCCATTTCTTCAAGAAACCTTGGTTTCTTTTGGTAGGATGTGGTATTTCAAGACCACAATTTGAGTGTCAGAGGCGCTTATAGTCTCTGTATTGGCAATTGTTCTAGGCCTTTCTAAAGAAGAGAGACTCTCATGAGTTCCTATATGTTTCCTATTCAAATTCACCATAAAGGTCCCCCCCCACCCCCCGCTGCCCTCAAGCTCTTCTATATTACATCTGTATCTCCTGAGAGTCATGGTTCTCAAGGACATTGATGATTGATTTAGAATATACCATAAATACTCATTTAAATCCTCTTTTCTATATTTATTTAATGCTCATCACCAATCCTTATGTTGATGTCTCTGGTCATGTCGGTTGTCTGAAGTTCATTCTCTGGTAGATTCCCCTGAAAGCGTTCTTGAGTTTTTATATAAGGATAACAGTTCTATTCTTTATATTTTGAAGGTCAGTTTTGTGAGTTAGAAAGTCCTTGGTTTGTATTTCTTTCCTTGAGTACCTGAAATATGTTACCCTGTTTTCTTCTGTCATAAAGTGTTGTTGAAAAGTTCGATTTTCTTTCTCTTATGAGTCGTATGCTCTTTTTGCCTAGACGTCAAGGAATTATTTTTCTTTAAGGACCAGTAATTTGTCTAGACTTTTTTAATATATATGTTTTTTTTTTTTTTTTTATAACAATTCAGCTTTTTTTTCAGTAAGGTGTTTTGGAATTACTGATTTAGTGTTTGTTCTGTTCCCTTGTATTGACTTTCATCTTTAGGGACTTTGATTATCTGCTTGTGAGATATACCTGTCATCAATATTTACAACTTTTTCTCAAGTTCTTTTTATATTTCTTCATTTCTTTTTTTTATTATGATGAAATATACTTAACAAAATTTACCATTTTAACCATACAGTTCTGTAGCATTAAATATGTTCACATTGTTGTGCAGTGATCATCATTGTCCATCTCCAGAACTTTTTCACCTTCCCCAATTGAGACTGTACCCTTTAAACACTTAAGTCCCCATTTCCCTCTCTTCTAGCCTCTCGTTTACTTTCTGTCTGTTTGAATTTGACTACTTTAGGTACCTCATATAAGGGGAATCATACAATATTTTTCCTTTTGTGACTTAGCATAATGTCTTTAAGGTTCATCCATGTCGTAGCATGTGTCAAATTACTTTCTTTTTAAGGCCGAATAATATTTGTTAGATGTATATGCTACATTTTGTTTATCCATTCATCCATTGATAGACACTTTGATTGCTTCCACCTTTTGGCTCTTGTGAATAATGCTGCTATGAACATAGGTGTACAAATATCTGTGTGAGCCCCTGCTTTCAATTCTTTTGGCTATTCCAGAAGCAGAATTGCTGTATCATATGATGATTCTGTATTTAATATTTTGAGGAACCAGCATATTATTTTCCATAGTAGCTGTACCATTTTCCATTCCCACCAGCAATGCACAAGGGTTCCAGTTTTTCCACATCCTTGCCAACACTAACAAGGATATATTTTTGATGATAGCTATCCTAGTGGGTGTGAAGTGGTAAAGGGTATGAATTTTATTGTATTATTTGTCCTTGCATTCCTCCTAGTTTAGTCTTTTTTTTTAAATGATTTTTTTTTCTAATTTTCTCTTGCATTCTGCTACCTCATTTCTGAGTCTGACTTATGCTACTCTTTTATGTCTTTTGTTTTTTGAAGTCTCATAATTCATTTTGAAATAGTATTTTATAATTTTGATCCATCTTTGGTGATTGTTTTTCTGTAAATATATTAACATTATTTGAATACAGGAACATACTTTTGTGTAAAATAATGCATACCTTCAAAAATAAGTATATTTTGAAGATTTAAGGATGCCAAAATAGTTTTGAGTTGCTTGACATTTAAAACAGTTGCAATTTTTTTCTATTAATTTGTAAATACTTGCAGAGAACATTCCATTTCTTTGACATCCTGTTATGTGTACATAGATTTATAGAACCATACTACCCTCATGGACCCAAAGTTTTAGGGTGATCTTATTGGATCACATTATCACAAATGGAAATAAGTATGTAAAATGTTATCTTAACAGACCAATGTGTACATGCCATGTCATTATAAGTAGAAATACAAAGCATATAGTGACCTTCATTTTCCTTTTTGCATAGAAAATAAAAATGCCTTTTGTTCCTTTTTAGTTTACTTCCTTTTCATTAGAGTGTTTAGAGAGATATGAATGTTGACAGTAGACATTGTTTAGACCTATTTCTGGACCTCCTTCCCAAGTCATGTACTGAGAGGAGAAAGTTAAGAAGAATAGTGTCATAGGTTCTAGGAAAACTCTAGATTACCGAGCTGACTTTACCTGAGCACAGAACCTCTTCGGGCAGGAATATCATACTGTGATCTCAATTTCTTCCTCCAGAAACATAAAAGGAGCCTATAAGTAGAGGAGGTAGCGGGTAATAGGGGTGAAGAGTCCTGAATAAATCTATTTGTTGCATTTTCTGCAAATATATTTTCCAACTATAATATGTTCTGTTTGCTTATTTATTTAATTATAAAACATTAACAAAATATCTAATGTAATGAAGGACTTTGCCTACCACATTAGGAAGCTTGAACTTCATTCCACAGGTAATAGGTAGCTGCCTATTTATGTTTAAGCAGAACTACATGTTCACAAAAAACCACGATACAGTAAACAAATAATTAGAATACAAAGTAAGATTTAATGAGTTTTAAGAGTTCTAACAACAAAATATCACAAAGGTTAAAATTATAGATATGGTTAATAATAGTAACTGCCATTTATTGAGTGTATATTCTGTGCGAAATACTGGATTTTTGGTATTTTATTTTTGAGAATTGTGGCATGTCAAACATGAAACTTTAAAAGATATGTATATATAGTATATAATGGCAAGAGGCAATTCAGGCAGCAGTAACAATTATATTACTATTAATTGTGGTCTGAGCTCTAAGCTTAAATGGTGAGGTTAACATTAATAAAGCTCTTTGTTGCTGTTCTCTGTAATTTAAATCAGAAAACACAGTTCCTAATATTTTTTGTGACAATCTTATGAGGAAGTTAGCAAGAGAAATATTGTCATAAAGGCTGCTTTGGTATAATTTTTGTTTTTCACACTAGAAAAAATGTCTATTTAAATATAATGTAGCCCTAGTTGGCATTTGTTTTGAAGTGGATAGACTGGTCTATTTTAAAGTTACCTTTTTTTCTTCAATTCTGGAGAATTCGTGATCTGAAGATGTATAAACGTGGTATTAGTATATTAATGATGGAATCTTTGGCAGTTTTGGGAGTGTGTGTGGTAGGAAGAGGGTAGTCAGAATTAGAATGATAGAGGTTATTTCTCTCACTCTTTAGTAAGAGCGCCATTATAAAAGACTTAATATGCTTTTCCCTTTTGTTGACAACAGTGAACTTTGCTTAAAAACTATCATTAACACTTTTATATGATTATTTATTTCAAGCGGATTTTGGAGTATCAGCTAAAAACACAAGGACAATTCAAAGAAGAGATTCCTTTATTGGCACACCATATTGGTATGTGTTCAGTTTTATGGATTTACAGTGTTAGTTATATCAGCAGTTATTACATTCATTAATTTGTCTACATAATTGGTGATCTGTTTATCTTTTATGCGGTTTGCAATCCTATTCTTAAGTTAAACATCTTAACTTTCAGTTCCCTGTTTTTATAGGATGGCTCCTGAGGTAGTCATGTGTGAAACATCTAAGGACAGACCCTATGACTACAAAGCTGATGTTTGGTCCCTGGGAATCACTTTAATAGAAATGGCTGAGATAGAACCACCTCATCATGAATTAAATCCAATGCGAGTGCTACTAAAAATAGCAAAATCTGAGCCCCCTACTTTAGCACAGCCATCAAGATGGTAAAGTATTCTAAAGAAGCTTTTAAAAAAATTTTTTTTTCCCAGCTTTATTGAAATGTAATAGACAATTAGTTGCTCATATTTACATTGTACAATTCAATGAGTTTTTTTGAATTATAGTTGGCATATAATAATATACCAGTTTCAGTTGTATAACCTAGTAATCAGAGATCCACATAACTTGCAAGACAGTCACCCCACTAAATCTAGTACCTCCTATTCCCCCTTACATATTACATCATTAACCATCTTCCCCATGCTGCACTCTACATCTCCATGTCTATTCTGCAACTATCCATTTGTACCTCTTAATCCCTTTGCCTTTTTTTCCCTCCCTCAACCCCCCTCCCGTCTAGTAGCCCTCAAAATATTCTCTGTATCTATGAGTTTATTACTGCTTTTGTTGTTGTTGTTTATTTGTTCTTTAGATTCCACACGTACGTGAAATCATGTGATATTTGTCTTTCTCTGTCCTTCCCATTTCATTCAGCGCGATACTGTCTCAGTCCATCAAGGCAATATCTTTCTCCATCCCCTTCCTTTTAGTCTGTGTGTGTCTTTTAATCTGAAGTGAGTCTCTTATAGGCAGCATATGTAATTGTCTTGTTTTCTTATCCATTCAGCCACTCTGTCTTTTGGTTGGAGCACTTAATTCTTTTCCATTTGAGGTACTTATTGATAGGAATATAGTTATTACCATTTTTTATTCATGTTCTTGATACATGTTCTTTCTTCTTAAGTCCCTCCAACTTTTCCTGTAATACTAGCTTGGTGTCGATAAATTCCTTTAGCTTATTTTTGTCTGGGAAGCTCTTTATCTGTCCTCCAAATAATAGCTTTTCTGGCTAAAGTATTATTGGTTGTAGATCCTGGGTTTTCATCATGTTGAATATTTTGTGCCAAGCCCTTCTGTCCCACATAGTTTCTTTTGATAAATCAGCTGCCCGTCTTATGGGTGCTCCCTTGTAGGTAACTAACTTCTCTTTTGCTCCTTTTAAGATTCTCTCTTTGTATTTAACCTTTGGCATTTTAATTACGACGTGTTTTGGTGTGGGCCTCTTTGGGTTCATCTTGTTTGGGACTCTCTGAGCTGCCTGGGGTTGTATGTCTATTTCCTTCACCAGGTGAGGGAAGTTTTCCAACATTATTTCTTCAAATAGCTCCTCAGCGTCTTGTTTTCCTTCAGATACCCTTATGACACAGATATTTTTACATTTAATAGTGTCCCATATGCTTCTTAAATTATTATTATAGCCTTGGCTTCTTTTTTCTTGCCATTCTGAATGAGTGCCCTCAGCTTCTCCATCTTCTATGTCGGTGGTTTGATCCTCTTCTTTACTCTGTTTTTTTCCATCTAATATACTCTTCATCTCGGATAATGTGTTCTTCATTTCTGACTGGTTCCCTTTTATAATTTCTATTTTAATTTTTATGTTTTTTATCTCTTTGTTAAAGTTCCACTGAATTCATCTACACTTCCCATAAGTTCATTGAGTATCTTTATAACCAGTGTTTTGAACTCTGCATCTGTTAGATTCCTTGATTCCATTATTCCCAGATCTCTGTTCTGTTCTCTGATATGGTTTCCGCTTCTTCGTCTTCCTATTTTGACTGTCTTTCTGTGTCTGTTTCTGTGTACCAAGGAAAGCTCTTAAGTCTCCCAGTCTTATTAGTAGGTGTCCAGTGGCACAGTCCTGAGAGGGGTTCAGCTACAGGCCAAGTTTAGCCCTAGACTGTGCCCCTCTGGGGCCACCTGTTAAGATTCAGCAAGCAATCCACAGATGCTGTGCTTATAGTTGCCTCAAGAAACAACACCAGAAACTGAGGCTAGCTGCCACTAGTGTGAATCTTGCCTCTGCTCAGCAAGGAGCACCTGACTCTCCCAGGACACACCTGGATGTGCCTTGGGTGGGGCGGAGTTTCAGGGACTCCTCTGGGCAGACTGACCTCTGTTATCCAGTTTGATGATGTCTCAGCTTTGGTGGTGCTGCATCAGCATACTGGGAGGGAGATGGGCTCAACAGAGGAACAATGGTACCGCAGGCACTTCTGTCTGGGAGAGACCCTAACCTCTGGCCCTCACTCCGACAGCTCAGCTTCCCCTTGTAAGTGCCTGTTGCCCTCCGCATAGCCAAACTGGTGCTGTGCTCAGAGCAAGCAGGTCTGTCACCGGGAAAGTCCGCTTGCGAACACGGCCCCTGTAAGAGTCATCTGCAGCTGCTGCTGCCGCAGCCTCCATCACACTCAGCATCCCCACGTTCTTGCCCCGTCCTACCTTCTGCCGTTGCAGGGTGATTTCTTAGTTCTCTCCATATGTGTATGGCTTATTCATTTAGATCCCAGGTGATTTTCCTTTCTGTATGCTCCTTGTTTCCGTCACAACTTTGATTTGGTCACCAGAGGGATGAACAGAGTCTCTATCATCTACACCATTTTTTTTTTTTAAACGAATCTTTTTAAGAAGCAAAATTTGATGCTTTATTCTTCTGACTTTCCTAGGGTACTTAAATTTATGGTATAAAGACTGTATGAAGTAGAAAACTGATTTTTGGTGTAATTTTCAAGGCTTAAGGACCATATAAACTCTTATAACTAACTTTTCCCATAAATTTGAAAATACCAGAGAATTCACTTCTACATGAAAAAGGTATTTTCTGTACTATGAGAAAGCGAGACATATATGTGTTTGATCTATATTTGTGGAATTTAATATAATAGAAGAATTTTCGTGATTTTGGGCATACTTGTGAATATATGGCTATATCCCAATGGCTAAAACTATGAACTTACTTACATATATGTCTCAGTTGTATTTAGAGATGAATAACTTATAAAATCTTAATATTCTCATTAACTGGTTTTCTTTTGTTGAATAATACTATTGTGTACATAATGAAACTTAAGCATAATTTATCAGAGTTTGTTTGATTTTTAATAACAAGAAAGTAAAATAGAATGTTATTGTTAAATTTTTATTTTGAAGGTCTTCAAATTTTAAGGACTTTCTAAAAAAATGCTTGGAAAAAAATGTGGATTCCAGATGGACTACATCTCAGCTACTGCAGGTAAGATAAGAGTAGTATGATAGCAAACCATATAGTTGTTTTAACATCTTCTTAAGAAGAATACAGTTTTAGATTCATTTATTATGTTTGCTTTCTACTCGAATTTCCCTGTGGAAACTCAAAGTTGTTATTTGCTGCCATTACTAAAAGGCATTTAGCTTATAAGTCATTCCTCTTGTGCTTTTATGATTTAGTTTAATTGTATTCTTTTATTTTGTGGGTTATTTCCACTTCGTTAGTTGCTTCCATTTTGTCTCTCCAGTTACTAGAAAGCATGCACCTTGGGAGAGGGGCACGAGCTAATTAATTTTTTTATATCTCTTACAGTGAGGGTAAATGTTCAGTATATAGAGCTGACTTTAAAAAATGGTGTTAAAGTGATTGGGTAATTTTGTTTCATAGCAAGACCAGTTCATAATATTTGAAATAAAATTTTGTCAAATAATTAATATTACAGGTGGACAAAAAGAATGACAAATCTTGAGGCACTTACTATTTGGTTGAGTATGGTGTAGCTCTTGGATTATAATATTTTAGGTTGATCTGTTTATCTGGGGGGAAAAGCAGGAAAAATTGCCTTGTTCTATGCCAACAGGTATATTCTTGGAACACACTTTCTTTTATTATTTCAGTACCCCTACATTTGAAGGGCTTAGTCTGTGACAGACACTGTTAAGTGCTGAGTATACAGAGCTGAATAACATGTCTTCTTACTCTTAAGAATATTATAACCATGTCAAAAAAGCAAGTGTTTGTAGACGCTGTTAACAACTTTAAAGCTTTTCGTAATTCTTTTATTAAGGCTTTATACAGGATTTATATGTGTTGTTACTTTTTAAGAATTGGTAATGTATCAACTTGAAAGTTACTTCACATTTTAAGTTTTAAATAATGAAATGTTGAAGCATACAGAGAAATACATGTACCTACTACCCAGGTATAATGTGTTGTTGTTGTTATTGTTGTTGTTATTATTTTCTTTAAATTTTAAATTTTTTAATGATGACATTGCATAATGAAATGTGTTATTATTTTTGACATATTTCATTCAGATTCTTGAAAAAAAGGTAAAGATACAGTTGCAGGCAGCCTCCTACTCCTGCTCAATCCTCATTCCCCTTGCCTCCTTTCTTCCCCAGATATAATGTTATCCGAAGCTGTATATTTCTTGCCCATGTGTTGATATTTTTAACACAGTAATTTTTGACATAGTAATATGTTTTATGTGTTTGAAACTTACTTTACAAGCAAGGGTTTCAGCCATTATTGAACATGCTCTCTTTAATGATCAAACAGCATCCCTTTGTTACTGTTGATTCCAACAAACCAATTCGAGAGTTGATTGCAGAAGCAAAGGCTGAAGTAACAGAAGAAGTTGAAGATGGCAAAGAGGAAGAGGAGGATGATGAAACAGAAAATTCTCTGGTCAGTATTTAGAAAGGAAATTTTATTTAGGTAATTTTTAGAGTTGGGTTTTGAGGTATGATTACACTTGTATCTAAGGATGGGTAGCAGTACAAAACCTTTAATTTTAGAGGTGAAGATTAATAGCAAGTTTGCTCTTGCTACCTGTTTTTGTCATATTTGTTATGTGAAGCTTTGTCAGCTCTTTAAATTATTTTTATAATGTAATCAGTTTACTGGATAAAGATTAAATCACATATATAAATTAAATAATTTTTAAAAGTATATGTTAACATTATTTTGGTCACCATCTTGAAATTATATTTTAACACTAAAAATGTATAAAATCTTTTTTAGCCAATACCTGCAAGTAAGCGTGCCTCCTCTGACCTTAGTATTGCCAGCTCTGAAGAAGATAAACTCTCACAAAATACTTGCATTTTGGAATCTGTCTCAGAAAAAATAGAACGTAATACTCGTAAAGATAAATTTAACAACAGAGTTCTTAATGAAAAACTCATCACTGATGAGCCTGAAAAAGCTGTGGAGGTTACTGATGAACATATTAATGATACTAATTTAGAAGATATGGCCGAACTTCATACTAGAACAATGATAATCAAGGAAAATGGGAGAGAGGAGAAGAGACCCAGGCTTGAAAATCTACCTGACACAGAAGACCAAGAAACAGTAGACATTAATTCAGTCAGTGAAGGAAAAGAGAATAATACAGTGATAACTTTAGAAACAAGTATTGAGCAGAATCTGAAACCTGAGGAAGAAATGGATCAGGAAAAGCAACAGATACTTGAAAATAAAGTTATAAAATCTGAAGAAATTAAAGATATTACTATTCAAACAATGGATTTAGTTTCTCAAGAGACTGGAGAAAAAGAGGCAAGTATTCAGGCAATTGACAATGAAGTTGAACTTGCAGACACCCAAAAGAATTTGGTAAAAGATGAGAAAACTCAAAAAGATGTGATTGGCGATACAAGCAATGCAGTAGGAACAAATGAGGCAATAGATGTTCCTCGGAAGGCAGTTGAAAATAATGCTGAGGATGCTCAGAATAATGATGGGAAAGAAATGGTTGAAGTAGGCCAGGAATTAGTAAGTAAATCTACAGAGAGTCCTGAGGTTAGTGGTACTGAGGAAGTTCCTGTTAAAGAAATACTTGAAACTAATGAGATAGATCAAAAATCTGTAGAAGGTAAAGATGAGGAACAGTTAATCAACAGTTCTAAGAACAGAGTGGAGACCAATGAGGAACCTAGGACAAATGAAGTTGAGAAAATTACTGAGTTGAGTAGCACTGAAGAAATAGAGGTCAGTGGTGCAGTGATTCATACTGACCAAAAGGCTTTAGGAAGTGAAACGCGAGATGCTCATGAAGCCACTACTCAAACAGATACAGAGCAAAAAGAAATTCCATGTGAAGTGCCAATTAAAACAGAACCTGAAGTTACCACCACTTCAAAGCCCAGTGAACCTCAGCCTGTCCCAATACCCAGTATTAATATCAACTCTGAAGATGCAGAAAATAAAGGAGAAATAGGTGCTTCATCAAAAACTGAAACCCTGCTAATACCAGAATCTGAGAATCAGAAGGAAAATGATACTGATTCAGGCACTGGTTCCACTGCTGATAATAGCAGCATTGACTTGAATTTATCCATCTCTAGCTTCCTAAGCAAAACTAAAGACAGTGGATCAATATCTTTACAAGTAAGTGTACATGGGTCCTCATTTGGGTTTTTCTTTGTCGTTTTGGCAATTTAGAGTTTATGTGAAACTGATATCTTGAAAATAAAATAGTACTAAATCGGTATAGTATTAACCCCATAAAATTCTTAAGGCCTGCGAAGGCAATCAATTAAAAACAAACAAGGAGAGAGGTTCTGGATGTTAACGTTAAATTTTTTGGTAGTACCTGCTTATTTTTTGCCAACGATATAAACAGTGTAACAATTATTTAGTGTGATTTGAGTTCTCTTATTGCACATATCTAGATACTATTTTAGCAAGAATCAATAATGTATGAAATTGTTGAGAAATCGAAGGAATGATCTTTTTTAAAGCACATTTAGGGTGCAAATAGCCCTTGATTTACCGCTGGCCCGTACAAAAGATCACTGTTCCTTCATTAGTCGTAGCCATCACAACTACCATGAGAACCATCGTGGGAAAACAAAACCAAAAACTAAAACCCAGAACACTTGCAGTTTTAGACCGTAATTGTCAAGTTTAGTGTGCTTAAGAGTTCCTAGGGGGAGCTAAGTAGAAGTATGGGGTGGGACCCAAGATCAGTATTTGTAACAAAATATCCCATGGAATTCTAACACAGGTGAGCCTTTGAGTAAAGATCCTGGGTTGACTGTGGAAGAGAAGGCTCTAAACAACAGAAACAACTTAGCAAAACTGACCTTGGGGATAGGACTCCTCAAGGCATGACTGACCAGCCTGCCTGTGTGTCCCAAATTATTATATGTCTTGCCTAGATTGTCTTCAGTTTTCAGTTTATTTTGTTTCACTGACCAAAATTATATTAATCTGAAGTTCATTCACTGACTTAATAGCCTCTTTTAAAAATACAGATACTTCTGTGAGAAGGTGATATTTATTATGGATACTTTAGTAGGAACTTAAGAAATGGAAAGTTTGGCAGTTATGGGGAGGTAGATCTATTGGGGGGGGCATACCCATTTTATTTTGGAGGAAGCCTGGATAGGGTGCCATGGTCTAGAGCTTAGGGAAAGGAGCATGAGGATAATGGGAACCTGGAGAATATAACAATAAAAGGTTGCAGAACAATGACAGGGAAGTGCCAAAGACAAACTTTAAATTTTAATACATTTTGACTTTAGTATTTTTACATTCCACTTTTTCTCTCTTTGCTTTCTAACCTTTTTCCTCATATCAAAACCAAGTAATTATCTGCTCTGAATACTTATATGTTTACCAGATATGTTTGTATGAGTGTTATGCTTCTACTATTTCTATTTGCATTTAAAAAGCATTTGGATACCAGTTGAGAAATGAAGAATTTGGTCTTAATAAAGAATTGTAGGTAATAGCTAGCAGGCAAATCTGGTGCTTTTGAGGTACAGTAGAGGTGCTTTCTGTCTAGTAACTCTAAAATCACACATTCATCTCTGGCCCTGAGATGGAGGAGGGCTGTTGATACTATTGTTGCTGATGAAATGGATTTTGAGTCCCAATCCTGGTAGTTAAAAATTACCTGGAGGGCCTTTTCAAAATACAAATTCCCAGCCACCCTCAGCCTTATTGATTTAGATTCCTTAAGGAATGAGCCCCAGAAATTCATTTTTAAGTGTTTTGTCAGTGGTTCTAAAACTGAAAAGCAGAGGTATCTGAAAAACTACAAGGTGAAAATATGAAAAAAAAAAATGGTTAACATGTAAAAGTTATACTAATTAGTATACTAATTATTGCCTATAATTCTTTATGTGAATTGCTCGTTATCACTGTGCCTGATTATGATGTGATAGCATAAAAATTATACATCACCAAAATGCATAATATCACTTGAAAAAATTTTGATTTCATCTATAAAGTCACATGAAAGATGAGATTTAAGATGATATAACTGGTTCCACAGGTGGGTCTTATATTGGTTTATATTTTCTTTACATGTGTAGTCTTCATGGCTGTTCAGTTTTTTATTTTTAAGAAGAAAATGTTTTCTGTCTCTAGTATTACCCATATAAAGCTAACTAAAATAAAACCTCATTCAGGAAACAAGAAGACAAAAGAAAACATTGAAGAAAACACGCAAATTTGTTGTTGATGGTGTAGAAGTGAGTGTAACAACGTCAAAGATAGTTACGGATAGTGATTCCAAAACTGAAGAATTGAGGTTTCTTAGGTGAGTAGCAAAAACAACATAATTAAAATTGGCTTTGTGCTTCTTTTCATTCTCCGCAAAGTCTAAAGAATAGAGAAATGAGGAAAGTCTTGGCTAATTTTGGATTATTTTGTTACTTTTCCATTAGAAAAAAATTATTTTTAAAGTTTTTTTAAAGCATTGCTTCAAAGGTGTAATTTTTGTTATCTTCCTCTATCATTGCCGTTAAATTTTATCAGACGTCAGGAACTTCGGGAATTAAGATTTCTTCAAAAAGAAGAGCAAAGAGCCCAACAACAGCTCAATAGCAAACTGCAACAGCAACGAGAACAAATTTTCCGGCGCTTTGAGCAAGAAATGATGGTAAAATCTTAGATTTTCGTACTATTTTGTTCATAATGTAATTTTGTGCTTTAAGAAAGAACCGACTGGTGGCGTGTAGAACTTGTTCTCTGATTACTAGAATTTTCTGGCTCTGTGATGTATTTCTGGTCTTTATCTCTTTGGTGTTCTGGATGTGCTTTTTTATTTTTTATTTTTGGCTTCTTGCCCAAAAAGATCTTTCATCTTGACCTTCCTGTCACTGACTTATAGTGTGATGGATGTCCTCATTTTTCTTTGGTTAAAATCTGTCATGAAAATTTGGAATCATGAAGCTAGTAGATGATTCGCAAAGTTCTTAGATGCTCCTGTTGCTGGATAATTTTTCATCATTACAATTTGACCCCTCTGATTTTAGAATTCTGAGATTTTAAGACAGTCTAGAGGAGTTGTATTTAAACCTTGCTAAGTATTAGAATTTCTTGGGGGCTTTTTCAAAACCCACTTAACTTCTCTGGCTCCTACAGTTAAGCTTCCACAACCCTATTCATAACTGAAAATTCCTAAGAAAATAACTTTCTGTTCTTATTGAGTATTTTTATGATACTTGTATTCTATTTTTTAGAGCTTTATAAAAACTATTTCTTTTCCCACAAAATATTTTTCAGAATGTTTTGCTTTTTAATTTTTTTAAAGAAAACACCCTTTACAAATATTTAACTCTACTTATATCCAAAATTGCAATGTTACTAAAGTTTTATATAAGCAGCAATCTTTTGTTGAATGAGTAAATTTATAATTCTAAAAGATTCATTGAAATGAAAGGATGTTTATTTTAAGAATCTTAATGAAGAATAATTAATCTGAAAATGACAGTGGTACATTATTAAAATAGACTTCAGATAAGACCTTTGATTTATCAAAAATTTTATTGGATAAATATTGAAATTTTTCTTACTTTAGTATTTCATAGCAACTGGATATTCTTATGGATCGTCTAAAAATTTTGACTATTCTATTTGTGTAATAGAAAAAAGTACAATTGACTCTTGAACAATGCAGAGTTTAGGGATGCTGACCCCCATGCAGTTGAAAATCTATGTATAACTTTTAACTTCTCAAAAACTTAACTACAGTTGTCTCTTGATATCCATGGGGGGTTGGTTTTAGGACCCCCCCCCCCCGCCCCTGCTAGCTACCAAAATCTGCAGGTAAACACTTATATAAAATGGCATAGAAAGATGCATATAGTAGACATTCTGCATTCATGGATCCCCAGCTGTAGATCGAAAATAATGTTTTTAATTAGTAGTTGGTTGAATCTGTGGATGCAAACCCTGGGGATACAGAGGGCCAACTGTATATTTATTGAAAAAAATCCATATATAAGATTTGAACTGTGTAGTTCAAACCGTGTTGTTCAAAGGTCAACTGTATTTATTTTCCACGTTAGAAGATATGCAATGCTTATCTTTTTTGAAAAATTTCATATTTTAGTGCATTTGACTTGTTCTGGTTATGTACTCTTAGTAAACATCTTCATAATAATGAGTTGATATGACTGACAGGAAAGTTAAACGATCTTGAGCAACATTGTTTTACAGAGCAAAAAGCGACAGTATGACCAAGAAATCGAGAATCTAGAAAAACAACAGAAACAAACTATTGAACGTCTAGAGCAAGAACACACAAATCGCTTACGAGATGAAGCCAAACGCATTAAAGGAGAACAAGAGAAAGAGTTGTCCAAATTTCAGAATATGTTAAAGAACCGAAAGAAGGAGGTAGGTGTAACTACTTTTTTTAATTATTAAAGCCGTTTTTTTTATTGCACATGTAAGACTGTCTAAAGAATAGGAATAATACCTGATAGTTAAATAGCACTTTTTTTTTTTTTTTTTTACCCCAACAGTCATGTAGGGCAGTAGTAGTAAGGTCAGGTGTTATCCCATTTTACTGCCAAGAAAACTGAAGTAGAAGATGTTGAAATAACCTGTTTAAGTTCACAAATTACCCTTAAAAATGTCCAGCTAAATGTTGAACCGTCTTCATTTTCCTTTTGGACTATCGTTTCTGCCTATGACAGAAATTTTATTTTATTTTTTTTTAAATGCCTTCAGCACCTGGTCTTCCTAGGTGGTCTCCCATCCAAATACTAACCAGGCCCGACCCTGCCTAGCGTCCGAGATCAGACGAGATTGGGCACATTCAGGGTGGCATGGCTGTAGATAGAAATATTTTTTTAAAAAAACTTACTATGTTCCGTTTGCAGATGGCAGTAATAAATCATCACACTATTTGTAACATTTAATTCATATTGAAAATTTTTTTCTTGATTAGCTTGATTGCCTTTCTTGGACATGTGCCAAAATAAAAGCTGAGTAACCTGAAATTTGAAATAATATCTATAATTATGTTCATTAAATTGCGAGATACTTTGAAGAATCACAAGTGGAAAATATCTGTAAAGTTATTTGAGTAGAATGAAGTTTTTCATTTTCCTGAAATTATTCCACATTGTTATAGAATCTATTTGTGGTATGAAAGATTGTCTTTGATTGAGATTTACATATTGTGTGTGTTTTTTTCTCCCCAAATTAAAACTAAGAGAGCTTTACATATTAGCAGTTTTCAGAGATAATTTTATCATTTATTATGTACCTTTAGAAAGAAAATGCACCTTTTTATATGATAAAAGACAGCAGGGGAAATAATTATGACCACATCTATTAGATTGGAACCAAAGTATTTCAGCCAAACTAGTGAATGCAGTTTCACTTTTGTTGCATGTCTCAAATACCCAGATTCATTGACTCGAACATTCAAATTATGCAGAAAATTGAACATCATATTGCTGAACTTGAGAATCTCTTTTAAAAAGGATAGAATCAACATTAATAAATGTAGTGTGTTCTATGATTTCTTTAGGTAAAGTTGAATGAAATAATACATAATTTTATTTGATGTAGCTACCATTTCAAAAATTACTGTTTCATCACTGTTTAATATAGTTTATAAAGAATTGCTCTATATCATGATGTATGACTTTTACTGATGCTACTTGTTAATTTTCTTGAAATCATGGGTAGTTGTCTTTGAGTGGTTGTTTTTCAATTTCAGATTAAATAAAACTAATTTTATAGGTAAATATTTAATCCTAAATATATAAAAGTCTCTAATTATTGTTAGTGTTTGGGGGTAGGAGAGTTTAAGCCAGTGAACATGTTAGAGATATACGTATTTTAAATAACTATATTATGTATTTTTTTCCTGTCACTGAACTTCTTGCATTTGGGGAGTTTCTTTCTTTTAATGGTGATTTGGTTTCATGAGGAATTACTGATGGGAAATTCTAAATGCACTGTTAAATCAAAATCAGTCTCTTTCATGGACCATCAGTAGCATGTGGTGATTTGGAATCTGGTTGCTTTTGGTTCTTCTACTTGTAAATACATGATCATTTTTCATAGTTGGATTATAGATCTGTTTTTAGGTGGAATACATATCTGGAATTTTGAAATGATTAAAAGAAGGAGCTCTAAACTATTTCATTTTATAATATACTTTATCTGATGTAATAAATCAGCATATTAAAATTATTTTGTGAGTGCTTATATTACTGCTTTTAAAGTTGACAATTAAGTTTGGCTTAAACTGTCCGCAAAGGAGCATGTTATCCTAATCCAACACAAAATCATCAGATATGTTCATTTTTCTCACACCATGTATAAAATGGTGTGTTTTATGAAAAAAGAAAATCTGGTGTCCATTTATTTCTTCTTTGTGTATTCTAAGGCTTATTTTCCCTTTTTCTTTTGGTCTCATTAAGTGGATTTTATTTAAAATTATTTCTTTGGTTTTATCAAGCCAATTATGAAATTTTTCATTTTATAAATGGCATTAGTTTTCCTATATGTCCAGAATTTCAGTGTCAATAAACATGTTTATAATTTTATGATCTTTCAAGGTCATTTGAGTTTATCACCTTTAGTTCAGCATCACCGCTGCAAGTAATCCTTTACTGATTGTCTGTGGATCTTTAAGAGAGAATGATACATTAGGGATAATCAAGCAACTAATTAACCTCTACATGGTGTAATGTCCCTTTCTGCACTGAGATTAAGCATGTTCTGTCCTTTCATTCTTTTTCACCAAACTAACACCTATGCTAATGCATGTTAAACTTTCTAACGGCTTTAATATTTGACTTTTAGCTTGTCTGCTCACACAAATGCTTGCTGTGGAGAAAGTATTATTTCCCCACTTCCTGCATGCTTATACACTGTAGGTTATAAATGAAGTGGAGAAAGCACCCAAAGAGCTGAGAAAAGAGCTCATGAAACGCAGGAAAGAGGAGCTTGCACAAAGCCAGCATGCTCAGGTAACAGCAGCAGCTTAATGCTACTAAAAACAGAAAGCATTCTCACAGCTCAATAAACCATGGTTGAAAGGATAAATTCTAATTATACTTATTAGATGATGTTGACTTCTCATACAAAGGTTCCCAGGGCATTCTTTATGTGGTACTAAATTCACACTAATGGTGACATTTAAGTTGCTAATACGAAATTAAGTGTAATGTTTGGAAAGCTGACTTCAGATGAAGCAAAGAAGTGTGTTAATATATAATCCACGGTATTCTTATTTTAATCATGATAGAAACTTATATTTTTAAGTAGTAATGTCAATGTTTGATAAGGCTTTTAGGATAGAAAAATACAGAGATTGAGTATGAAAAGAATGCCTGTTAAAAGGCCATTATTTATATAAAGTTTAAAGTTAAAAGAAAAATGGTAAATGGTAATGTTAAATGGTCAATCAAACATTTATTAGTTAAACTCAACAACATAAACACCTTAAAACCAGATTTTAAATATTAAGTATGTTTTTCTTTTTGATTCAGAATCTAGCAATTTATAAAATAGGCTGTTTTTTTTACCTATATAAACTTGATTCAGGTTATGATAAGGCTGAGCCAATTAAGATCTTTATAAAACTAGATTAATTAGTATTTTCAACATATTCTTCTAGAATTATTTCACATGACTACAAGGTCTTTTATACTAGGAATCATCTTTTAATTAAGTTTGCCCTCAGCCTGGAGGCAAAGAAGAATGAGCTCAATTTGTAGTTACATAAGTCAAGGAAAGGAAGAAGAGACATGGATTATATATTAACTGTTGCTTTAAATTATCTTTTTAATGTGATTTTATGTGGTTTAAAAAGTGATTCCCAGACTTTTGAATTTTACAGACCCATGGAAAGAAACATAGTAACAACGAAAACTATTGAGGACCATGACAAATGGATTGCTGTTCATTTTTTTTTTGGTTGTTTTTGCCAAGTAAGGATATTTTTAAATAACATTACCATTTGCCATTTACTTGTCACCATCATTTTAAAGGAGAGACTATTTTAACACTATGAGAAATAAGAAAAATACCTCAGAATTCAAAATTTTAATAAAACTAGCCTATTTGAATAAATTTAGTTTTTGCTGTGAACCAGGGAAAATTTTGTCTTGGCTAAATAACAAGCCCAGCGTTTATTATGTGTTAAGTACTGTTCTGAATGCTTTACCTGTATAAACTCATCTAACCTCCCATCGTATGAGGTTACTCTTGTACCTCCATCCTACATCCAAGGTCACATATCTGGTTAGTGGTAGAACCAGAATTCTTGTCTAGGCAAGTTTGACTCCACCAAACCCACCATACCATGCTGCCTCCCATATTTAAGCTACCCTTTCTGTGCCAAATCTAAACTCTCATCAGCCTAACCCAATGGTTGTTGTTCACCATGTCTTGTTACTAGGTGAAGAGGAAGTCCTTGCTGGTCGCACATCTCTTTTTGGATAACTTAGATTTCAAGCCAGATAATAATATAGTTTTGTCTTGTAAAGGAATATAGACTTTTTAAATTGCAAAAGGTAATATATCAGACTCCAGAGTCAAAATGGAGACATTAGTGTTGAATTAATTAGGTGATTCTGTGCTTTAATAAAACTTTGTTGGTGTTTTTTCTTATAATTTTGTGGACTAGCTTGTATTTTCCAACTAATGCTGAAAGCAAAAGTTAATTTCTTTCTGTAAATTTAATGAAGAATTTAGTAGTCTAACATATTTCAGAAGTATTTCTCTTTAGCTACTGCATTTAATGAAGGTGGTATAACTTGATAACTTTACAGAGTCTATTTTAAATTTTTTTGATAATTTGTAAAGAATAGTCATATAGTCATGGAGCTGGAGTATATTCGATTATCCGGTGGTTTTCAAACTGTGCTTCCAGGATTTGAGTTTGGAAGAAGTACCTTGAGAATCCGCTCAAGAGCAAGGACTGTGGGGCTCTGGGCCTTGCTTCCTCTTCAACTCAAGCAGCACCACTTTGTTTTACAAATTTTATGTATTTTTTGGTGAGTTTTTAAAAGAGGGTTTGACTGGTTTAAAAAAAAATCACACCAGCAAACTAGAGCTTGGAAACCATTGATCTAGTTCAAATCTTTCATTTTATAGATGAGAAAGAGGCCCCTGTGTTAAATGACTTGTTCCAGGCTTCAAGAAACTCAGCATTTGTGTAATTATTCTTTCCATTTATAAAAAGTCACTCGGTTATATTCTCACCTGGGAGGTGCATTGTATTCTGATCCACAGGGTGTTGCTCAGGTCATGATTCAGTCTTTTCAGTTGTCATCTTGTGCAGTCTTCAACGCCCAAATACAGGATGTAAGTCCCGCGTGCCTGTAGGAGGATGCCTTTTCCTGTTTTACTTGCTTTTTCTTTGACTCACATGTGCCTTTTCATTGTTAGCTTCATTCGTTAAAATTATTCGTTAAAATCTTAGAAGATTGATAGATAATAATGTCAGTAATGACAATAACTAATAACCTGACATGAACTTTATAGTATAGTTTTCTTCAGAGTTTTCACATTTCGTTCTCATTGGCACCACCCTAACATTGGGATGGAGTGTATTCATTTTACAGATGAAGAAATCAAGGCACAGAAGTCCAAGCGATCTGCCTAAGTTATAAAAGAGATTAATGATAGAGCTGGAACTAGAACACTTCTAATATAGTGTTCTTTTTCTGTCTACCCCACCACAAATTTTAATTTGAGATTTTCATTTTTTTCAAGAAAGATATTCCAAGTAGTATTTTATGAGCTTTGCACATGTGAGAAATTGAATGCTGTGATTCGATTTTTATCTTTGTGTGAAGTGACATTTTGATTGCATATGTTTATGTTAGACGTTTTAATTATGGATATGGTCAGAAAAGCCATATTAAAAGTGGTAATTTTAGTTACATTTAACTCTCGTTTTCACTATTCAAATTGTCCATAATGAATAGTGAGTTGCTATTCTCCTTGCTGTAGTTTTAAATTAAGTCTGGAATTCCAGGCTGTATGCTTTCTGAGTTTCTATAGGGAAGTGATTAGCTTATTTAACAATCTAATTTTTGTTTGTGACGTTTGATATATGCGACTGAAGTAGATAGAATACAGATTGATTTCAGCCCCTCCTTTTCCCTCTCCTGAAATTAGGCTTATTTTTTTTATTATTGGCAGCTGTTGGACCCTATAGTTTTCTAAAAGAGTAAGCAAAACATTAATATTTTAACAAGAGGGAGAAATTGTGAATCACAATCATTTTTCTGATCATTGCCATTTTTAGCTCTTGAGTTAAAATTATCAAATTCTGTAAAAATAGCCCAATATATCATCACTCTAATAGCTTTCTACAACCCCCTGTATTTTTTTGGACCCTGTGTATTTTTAATGTTCGTAGTTATCTGATTAATATGATAAAATTCCTTATTAAAATTCAAACTTGTCCATTTAAAGGGCACTCATTTTACAGTTTATGTGTCCATTTTAAGATTATTTGTTATTCCTAGTGACCAGATTCATCTGTTGTTTTTTTAATAGGATGGATGTAATTTATATAATCTTTTTGGAATGTAAGATCACTTTTCTTTTAGATCGTAAGAGTCATTTCTAAGTAAAAATTCCATTGTGAATGTATTATACTTGGATTTTGAAGTTAGAAAATTTAATGAAAGCGCAATAATGTTAAAATTTCATATCTTTTGATGTAATAAAATATATTAATTACTATGTAATGGACCTTTCAGATAATTTTTTAGCTTTAATATAAAAATTATTTGTGCAGTATCTTTGACTATGTAATCATCCAGACTCAGCTTAATTATTCAAGTCCATATCTCTATAAGGCAGCTGGTATCTTGGCTAACTCTGAGTGTCAGGAAGCACTTCCATACGTTGCCTACCTTGACTCTTACCTGTCGATCCTTATTGTACCTTCTGAAGCAGCACAATGCTAGTGTTGCCTGCTTCTGTATAACAGTCTTAGCTCTTCTTTTCCCCTCATTTATTATTAGTTGCTTGAGGGCATGTAGTTCTTTTAGTCATTCATTGTGTAGCATGGTTTCTAGACCCTCTGTTTTCAGCTTTTGAGTTTTCTGTGGTTTACTTTTGAATTTTCGAAAGTCCAGTACTAAGGGAAGGGGCCTACTATTTATGTGAACTGAAAACCAGTTCGGAAATAATAGAGTGGAAGCTCTTTAAAGGCAATACTGTTTTTTTATTAAATTTATTAACCCTGCAACTAGTACAGTGCCCAGCATTTACTGAGTGCTCAATAAAGGTTTTCTTTGAACTGAACTCCTAAATAAGTATAGTAAATATGACCCAAAATTTCATTGACAAGAAATTATATTCACTTTTTAGTGGCTCTGTCTTATTTTAGCTTTTTAATTTTCACATAAATATTTATTCACCCCATCTTATACTTTTGTACTTGATTTCTTTGACTCTAAAAGTAATATATGCTAGTTAATTTTGGACCCATTGTTTTTTCTATTCACACAGATATTTTTTAAAAGTCCTATATGCAAACGAATGATAAAAATGTTGAACACCCTTTGATAGGTTATATTGTTTATTTAACAAGTTTGCACATAGAAATTTTATAGCAAAATTAGAGAAAATTTAATTTTTATTACTAATGGTAATTACTGTAAGAAAAAGAGAAGCTTGAACAACTTACTTTGTTATAACCACTTAAAAGATAGAGTTAGAGATTTTACATCTCTTTAAATAAAACTCAGAAGACCTTATTCTGTGTAGTTGAGTTTAAATATTCTTTTATTTTTATTTTCTTTACTGTGATAAAGTTATATAGGTGACTATAGTTAAGTTGGCAGTGTATTTTGTAGAGGCAATTCATTAGTCTTTCTGCTGCTACATAAGTTGTATTTATGCTACAATACAAATTAAGATGCAGATGAGACAGCAGCATTTGTGACTCCAAATTAACAGTGTGTCATGAATGGTAAGACCCAATCCTCACCTCCGAAGGCACAGTGGTAAGACAAGCATCTTGAGGAACACTGCTAGACTTACACTTTGTGCATTAAAGGCCAGGCTGGTAGTGATCTAGATCCTATCAGACTCTGTCTGAGGCCTAAAAAATAGTTCCAATAAGGACCTTGGGGTTTTATCTTTTGGATGTGCAAGAGAAGGGATTATAGGCGAAGTAGTGCTTCAACCCTAAATTTCTGAATCAACACTCAGATTGATTAGAATATCCCGTGAGCTAATCACAAACTGCTATAACTACCAAGAGAGGGATGGAGATCCAAACATTTCCTGGCAAAGTTTACATTTCTTGAATTTGGGTATTATTCTTTCTGTAAATGTATGATCTAGCATAAAGACCATAAGTCACTTTAACATTTCCTTTCTTACACAGTAATCGAAGGCTATTTTTAAAATATAAATTTTGCATTTAGGAAAATAGTATGCACTTAGTAAAGGTTTGTTAAATGAATGAGTAAATCCCAAAAGTGTTAGAAATCTCTGTTTATAAGGAATTTTTTTTATAGATTTATAAAATGTAGCTCACTTTCCTATTTCTCGTTCACATTTTACTAGCAATGCAATATTTCTTATTAAGTCCTCAAACTGTTGTTCTTTTTAGGCCCAGCTGTTGATACAGAAACTATCTTTCTCTGTTAGTGTAGCCACGGTATTTCTTCCTAACTCATTATTGCTTAGAAAAATAGAGAGTTTACAATTCTGATATCTGTTTTATTTATTTGCTCTTTATTGCCTTTCTTTCTAAAAGGCATTTCTTGTTCTTGTTTTAGCCACACCATAGTGGAATGAATAGTCATTTTTAGAAACTGTAAATTTACTATTTTCCCAGAGATGCCAGTATAACAGGGCATTTTAATTGTGGGTAGATTATAGACTACTTTTGTTTGTATTATTCTTAATAGTGAATTAAGAATAATATGTATTCTAGTACTTCTTTTCTGGACTTGAACCAATACATTTATATATATACTATATAATTTTAGTATTTTTCAATTTTGCTAACTTGAGAAACTTGGTTTAGAAATCTTGTAAACCATTAATATATGCAGTTATGTTGATAAATGGATGTTTTGTTCAGTAAATAATTATTAACTGATGGTTAACTATGTCTAATAGGAACAAGAGTTTGTTCAGAAGCAACAGCAAGAATTAGATGGCTCTCTGAAAAAGATCATCCAACAGCAGAAGGCAGAGTTAGCCAATATTGAAAGAGAGTGTCTGAATAATAAACAACAGCTCATGAGAGGTATATAAAATTATGTAGCATATGTATATGTGTAAAATGGTATCAAAAACATTGCTGAGATATACCTTGAAAATTATTTGAATACTTTTTTTGCTAGAGTGGTAGAGGGAAAGATAAAGTTGAGGTAAACAAAAGGAAAAAATTTATAAAATTAACAAATACTGCAAGATATAGAATTCCTTTTTGACAAGTGAACATAAACATAGAGTCCTTAAAACATCTTTTTGTCCAGATGATGCTAGAAATATACTTGAATAATTTTATATATTCATTATGCCTTACAATTGTCGGTATACTTTGTGGCTACATGATAGAATGAGATTTTAAGCACTTATTTCTCCTAAGAAATAGCTTAGATTTTTTATTTATTTCTCATTAAGATGATTAAATAGAATTTTGATGTTGAGGGTAGAGCATTCTCTGTTCATAGGACATTAGAACAGAATGGAAAGTAGCAAAAGATATTATCTTTGCATTGGTAATATTTCAGAATGTCATCATGTGTGTAAGTAGTGTATGTAAGAACACTTTTATGTAAATATTAAAATGCAGCCAAAGTACATTAGTAAAAAGATCAAAGTGACATTTTGAAAATTGCTTTTTTCTAGCTCGAGAAGCTGCAATTTGGGAGCTTGAAGAACGACACTTACAAGAAAAACATCAGCTGCTCAAACAGCAACTTAAAGATCAGTATTTCATGCAAAGACATCAGCTACTTAAGCGCCATGAGAAGGTTAATGAAAGGAAAATTTATTCACTTTTTTGTTCATTTTAAAGTTTGTGAAGTGAGGATTTTATTTCTGAAGCTTATATTTTAGAGAATGAATTTCAGATTTATTTTATCCTAAAATTTCTTTGATGAAGTTGAGAGTAATTAATTATATGTTGGTTATGATTGCAAACTTCTACAAATTCCAACGAAAGTAATGAATTACAATGCTTAACGGCCTCTGATAATCTTCATCTCATCTCTCAAAGGTAGCTATTGTGGCTCCATTTATGATTCAAGTATCTTAAAAATGTAGACTACTTATACGTAGTAAAAGAGGGTTTTAGTACAAGACTTTTATTACTAATAGCTTTGTTTTTCTTATAATTTATTTTTTGCCTAATATTTTATATTACATATATATTATATCTACATCACTGGATTGTGTTTAAAACTTTCTTAGGAAACAGAACAAATGCAGCGTTACAATCAACGACTTATTGAAGAATTGAAAAACAGACAGACTCAAGAAAGAGCAAGACTGCCTAAGATTCAGCGCAGTGAAGCTAAGACTCGAATGGCCATGTTTAAGAAAAGTTTGAGAATTAACTCAACGGCCACACCAGATCAGGACCGTGAAAAAATTAAACAGGTAAATAAACAAATTACTTTCTTATATTTTAGGTTAAAAAAATTTGAATGACTTTTAGAAGTGCCACATGTTGTGTTGTAAACATTTAGAGACACCTTGGGTTGTCGATATTCACTTTGTCTCTATGGGCTGGGGCTAAATATATAACATATACCAACCTAGTCTTCCTACAGTTGTGGCCCCAGAGAGCAGAGCTCTCCCTCCCAGGGCCCACATCAGATCCTGGACTGTGCTGGTCCTGATACCAGCTTTGGGAATAAGATGACTTGGACAGCTTTTTAAGTCAAAACATAATGGCTTCGGTATACTTCTACCATACAAGTGAACTGAGGTCATTACGCAGATAAGGAAGAGCAAGGTTTTAATCAGAAGATCCCCACTCCCTACTAAAGCCATGATGTAGACTCTAGCTTTCAGTGATAGTATATTATTATTTACACCCTCAATTTGTTACACTTATAAGTTTTGTTAAATTCTTTAATTATACCTTTAGAAGATGCAGAAATTACATTGTTAACCATATTTATCTTTTGTTTTTCTTATTATAGTTTGCTACTCAAGAAGAAAAGAGGCAGAAAAATGAGAGAATGGCTCAACATCAAAAACATGAAAATCAAATGCGGGATCTGCAGTTGCAGTGTGAAGCCAACGTCCGAGAGCTGCACCAACTGCAGGTGAGCTATGGAAACGTGAAAACATTGCTGGTGGTGGACGGGCGGCATAGGTTTTGAGGAAAGAATAGCTAATCAAAGTAAACTGCATTTTACTCATAAAACTGCTAGGATTGTTTCCTCTGTAAACCCAAATGAAGATCAGTTTAGTATCATAGGCACTTCTTTTGATTTTATGTAACTGATTAATATAACATGAAGTTAAATTATAACCTAAGAACTTTAGTCTTTCAAAAGCAGTATTTTTTAGTGTATTTTGCAAAGGAGATGAACAAAATTTTCAAAATGATGTAGGCAGTCTTGTTATCAGATTCTGAATTTGAAATTTCATTTAGAGAAACAGTTCACTTTCTTCTACATTTTTGAAAAAAGTGATAAACTAAACATATGAGAATTTTTCTCCTAAGAAATTTAAAGGTTAACTTTGGAGAAGACTGTTTTGGGCCTTACCTGGAATATGTAGCCCATCTAGTATAGCCTAAAATGTTTAAAATTTCAGAGTAGTGTATACACTTGTGGATATGCTTCATGTTTGTTTAATTTACTATAGTGGAAAAGTTCTGAATCCCACATTCTGATAACCAAGTATGGGTAAAATATATACAAGCTGCCCTCCGAAGTGTCAGTTTTATGAGAAAATCTTAGCAAGGAAAGCTAGGATCAAACTAATTCTAAGTTATATTCATATGGTAACATATCCAGCTTCTAAACTTGCAAAAATGAAGCTATGACTCATTTCATTATTCTTGGCCCTTGGTTTTTAGAGAAGAATTTGAACCTCAGTAACAGCTTAGTGTTTGATGAATAATTTATTATTTTGGAAGATAATTGTATTTGTGAAAAATTGCTTAGTTGATCTGAAATTTTAAAAATCCAAACTTTATCTTCAGAATGAAAAATGCCACCTGTTGGTTGAGCATGAGACTCAGAAACTAAAGGAATTAGATGAGGAACACAGCCAGGAATTAAAGGAATGGAGAGAGAAATTGAGACCTAGGAAAAAGGTAATTTTAAAAGTTTTAATTAAAATATGTTTGTGTTCATCCACCCATTCATCCATCCACCCATCCTCCCCGCTGTTGGCTCTTTTCCTAATACATACCCCCGTCCCCCAAAGGTTCAGAATCTAGTAACAAGCAATGATACTACTGATCCTATTGCTCCGAAGGAGGTAAGTACAGGGTACAGGGAGAAGAGCTCAATGTATGAGCAAAGAAGGAATAGTGCTCAGATTTTCCCGGGGAAATCAGGAACGCTTCACAGAGGAGTTGCCTTGTGAACCAAGTGAGGCTTGAAGGATGAGTCGGAGCTTGCTAAGCAGACAGACAGATTGGGGTAGGATGGGGCAATTTAAGTGTAGAGAAGACAATGAGTGAAGATCATACATACAGGAATCATAAGTAGCTCCCCATCATTGGAGCATTGCTAGAGAAAAGAAGACATGATGACAACTTGGTCTAGATGGGTTGACTGGAGCCAGATTGCAAGGCCATGGTATGCTATGTAAATTGATAATCTAGTAAAATAGGAATGGCTTCCCTTCCTTTATCTAGCCAGCCAGCCATCTTCCTTATTTGCAGTTGACTCCCTGCTAGTCTGGTCCAGTTGGTCAACCATTTCAATTGTGTTTTTATTATCACTGTATTATCCTCTTCCTAATTCTCAAACTTAAACTTTTATTTTCTCTTGGGCTTCCTGCCTGCTATACATTTCAACCATTCCTTTTTTCCATTCATCCAATCAATCAATTAAGGAAATATGTATTTAGCACCTACTATGTGCTAAATGTTTCTAGAAGAAATAAAATGACCAAGTCAGTTGATAGTGTGGCTTTTTAATTTAGGTTTTATTTATTGTTAAACTCTTGAATAGTGTGATTCAGAATTCAAAAGGTAAGGAAGGGTAAACAGTGAGAGTGAGAAGTCCCTTTTACTAGTCTCTTTTAACTCTTTGCAGTTTAGCTTTCACCTCAAACTCCCCAGTTGTTGAGAGTGTTCATAAGTGAGTTGCTAATAACCAGATCCTATGCCATTATCTAACTGTTCTTGTTAAAAATCTTGTTTCTTAAAATTCTCTTCTTGCTTGACACTTGTGACATGCTCTCTTTGTACTCTTTATCACTTTTTTTTTTGGTCTTCCAGTCACTTGAAATTTAGACATTTTCCCGTTTCACATCCTTAGCTCTGTTCTTTATCTTGATCGCGTAGCTAGTCATGGCTGTTGCATATTTAAGGACAATTCCAAAACTTGTATAGTAGGGGTTATATAGAGCACAAATTCGAAAGTCATATAGATTTGGGTTCAAATCTCAGTGCTGACACCGATTAATTTGTCATTTAACATTTCTAAGCCCAGTTTTCCTCATTTGTAAACTGAGGATGGATGATACTACCTGCCTAATGGAGTTAAGACAGTTAGAAGAAGTGATGTATATACAGCAGTTGTCCCAGTACCTGAGCTGTGGTCAGAGTTCACTGAATGGTTGCTATTCATTCATATGGCTGAGCCAAGGCTTGAACCTAGGGCTGTGTACAGTTTATGAACCTAACTGTTGAGCAGTCTGGTCTTCCTTAGGATAATATACAGAGAAATTGTTTGGGGCAAATAGTTTTATCTTGTCCAGCAGAGTAAATTCTGTTTGTAATATTTCTTCTTCCCTTCCTTTTTAAGACGCTGGAAGAAGAATTTGCCAGGAAACTGCAGGAACAGGAAGTGTTCTTTAAAATGACCGGGGAGTCTGAGTGCCTTAATCCATCAACACAGAGCCGGATTTCCAAATTCTATCCTATTCCTAGCTTGCATTCCACTGGATCATAACAATGGGAAGCATTCTGTGGTCCGGTTTGGCTTTTAAAATATGTCATTCTGTTCTATTCATCCTCTGCCACAGTCTATATTAGAGTGCACGAAGACAATCACCTGCCTCACCTTCTAAGTGTTTTGTTTTTTTGTTTGTCTTTTTTGTTTAGCAAAGATGAAGGGAAAGAAACTAAGACAGATGCTGGGCTGTGTTGGCAAAGTAGCATCTTGCAGTAATTCCCTAAGGTGATTTTGTATATTAATCTTAAAAAATTGTATTCTTTAGACACTATTACCTGCAAAACTCTTAAGAGATATGTTTAAAGTTATTTAAAAAAAACCTGTTACATCACTGAGTATTAATAAATATCATTTTACCTGATCTAATTTCTCAATGATGCCTAAATTCTGTAGTTGAAACTGCTGTAGAGAGTTGGAATAATTTTCTTTTGGTGAATCAGCTCTCACAAAAAAGCTATGAGTTGCTCAAAATATGATACTGATTCAGTAAATAAATCTATTTTGTCTTTAAGTAGCAACAAGTCTTTTTAAAGAGAAAAATTATTTTGATAATTAGTCTAAAATAATTACCTGTTTATGAGCTAATAATTAAGGGTGCTAGTTTTATTAAGATAGTGCCTAAAACACTAAATTTCATTTGAGTCTAAAATAGGATTTTCTTTTTTGATTCAACAGGGACAAATCACCTTTAGCATTAAGCATTATTGTTTTTTAAATCTTGCTCCTATTACCGTTTGATAGAAATTTTCATCCTAAAACATGTTGTACAGAGTTGAAAAGATGAGAAAAAAAGGTAGCTTTTAGATATCCAAATTGGAAATGTAAAACTCACCAAACTAAAAGAAATGCAGATTTACCTGTCCTAGCTTATTTTTAAAAATAATACATGAGTTGATTAAATGACTTCTCCCATCTTAGCAAATTCTGTTCATTGAAAACTCTGTCAGAGGCATACTGGCTCTGAGTTACATTTATAAATGTATTTTCTGAAATTAATCTTGAAGCATTTGTTCAGAATACTTTTTAAAAATTTAAATAAAATATTTAGGTAAATTTCGGAAATGACTTTGTTGTTTTGAAATAAAGTCATTTATATGTTGGTTTTATTTTGTTCCATGTTTAAATTATTTACATTTATTTGAGTGGGAAAAGCCTGAAACCTTTATCATGTGGTTGCTGATATGTGTAATTATTAATGAAATGCTCACTCTTAGTCCCTCTCGAGGCTTAGAATTTCAAGCACGTGTCAGGTCTAACAGTATTATGAACTGTACTGCAGTGTGTGAGACAGCACATTTGTAAGTGATGCTTGCTGCCCACCATTTGTAACCTGTTCTCTTTTAAGAGTACTAGGTACCGAATTGTACAAGTTTGTTTTTAGTTATATTACATTTGAGGCTGGTGAAAAATTTAAATGTAGCTGTGGGAACACTGATTCATATTAAGAAAATGTAAATATCTGTAGCACTTTCTTGCAGTTAATTTGAAAACTTTGAATGCTGAACCTTATTTCGTCAGTGGTTTAGATGACTTAAAAATGCACGTGTAATTTTCATTTCGTAATTGTTTTGATGAGAAAAATTTACTTGGACAACTTTGTAGGTAGCCTTAACTCTGGCCAAGCTTGTTTTTTATATAAATATATATACATATATATTCTGTATGGTTGTAAATTCATACACTTATCACATGAATGTGTTACTGTATACAAAACTCTTATAATGCTTTATTCCCAAGTGCTGGGTTGAAAATGTTTTGAAAGCCTTTTAAAATATATATCTTTATAAAGTAATGTTCAGGATGATGATGGAAATTGTTTATATTATGATAAAAATGACAGTATAATGTTATCTCAGTGTATTTAATGATCTAAGAGGGAGAGAAGAGGAAGGTTCTCATACCACTATCTCCTTTGAAATTTTCAGTTTATTGGCTTTTAAAAAGTTAATACTTCAGGCAATAGACATTTTTTCAGTATCATTTAAATGATACCCTGTGTACAAAATAGTTTGTGGCACATAATTTGGTCTGAACATTTGATTTTTTATTCCTTTCAACTTGACATTCAGAGCATTGAGTAAAGGAAGGAGGCTCGGAGTAAAATGGTTGACACTCTGGTAAGTTTATTTACAACTCTTGCATATCCCTTAAAACTGCTCTTTGGATTCAGTGCTTATGTGCGAGTCCTCTTTCAAATATGACCTATTCATGTGGGAGCAAGGCTACAAAATGATGCATACGTAGAGGTGAAACATTCATTTTAATATTTAAAGTTACCTAAATCTTTTCAAAAAGTGTTTTATTATAGAATATGCTGTTTGTACTCATCCCTGCCCACTTCTTGTTAGGCTCTATATTCAGATAGATAATACATCTTTCTTGCATGAAGTGTAGGTGGGGAGTGGGGGAGGAGCTCAGACTTCTTTGAAATCAAAGTATATAGTGAAATCCATTCCTTATTTGGTTGTTTTTTTTTGCTGTGGCAGAATGTGCTATGAAATGCATAAAAGAAATTCTTCATAATGTGCACCCTCATTACTCACCCTCCCCTTTTCTCCCTGCATGCTGCGAATACACCAGACCACCACACTTCTGCAGGTCCAGCTCATAGAGCTTGTTGCACCAGGTTGCCTTTCCTAGTCCTGTCAATCCATAGTTGGGTGTGAATTGCTGAAGTAGCTGCTATTCTAAATGGAGTCACAATTAAGCTTTTTCTTACCCTTTTCTATGGGGAAGCTATAGGGTGGTTAAGGAGGAAATTGAGTGCTTATACTTTGCTGAAATTATTAGAACTTTCCTGTGACAGGATACAGCAAATTGTACTTAAATATTAACCAGAACCAGAGCTACCTCTAAGTAGTGTTTCCTCAAGCACAAAGCTCTCAGGCATATGAGACCCAATTTAATGGAGGGTCTCTGATTTCTTGAGCATCAGCGAGTTTCAGAAGTGACTTGTCTTTTGTACTCTTCTAAGTTTCCTTGTACTGACACACTTTTTCCCATTCCACACTGTGCTTAAATGACAAAGTCTCTTCTGAGAAGCCAAATTCTGTCAAATGATTAGCTAGAGATATTATTGATTAAAGAAAAACCTAGAACTGAGGTGGAAGAGGAGAGTTAGTTCCAGTTCTAATAGTTTTCTGATTAAATAAATCTTTTCCAGGAAATGATCTTTTATAGGAAATGGGATATTTTAAATGCTTATCTTACGTTGAAGGCACAACAATTAATGACTCTATTGTTGCTTTACTGTGGCTGACATGGTTTTGATATAGCTTTAAAATTTCTGCTACTAAGCTTGGGATAGAATATTATACCAGTTTTAAATGTTGGCTGCAGCTTTTTGTGATCCTTTGATTTACAGTGTAATAATGTCACAAGCTAAATTTTCAGAATTTTGTTTCAGATTATGCTTCTTGTCTCCTTGGGAGCAACATGTTTTTCAATCATGGGGTTGACAAATGAAAAAATAAAGTTATTTCTTAATCTATTTTGAGAAGCAGTCTTTTATTGAGAACTGTCGAAGCTGGCTTGTCCTGCATGAGAACATCTTGCAGCTTTTGTGGTCCTAGTTATATTTTAACACTTGCAGTCCTCCAGGTCTTCTGATGCTTTCAGACTTACTAGAGGTGCTTTAAATATTTCCATCGATGTATATATGTATACATTTTTTTTTCCTTTCCCCCCCTTGGGATGGATTATTTTTCTCACCAAGCATTTCACAGACCATATGACCTCACTTTTGCTAAAAATAACTTCTTTCTGTCATTGATATCTTCATGCAAGATTCAGCAGACACGAGGAAGCATTATTTGGCAAGTGTTCAGCTTAACTGGAGAGAGGCAAAGCATGTCATTTCCTCATCTAGGAGCATTGTACTCTATTGAGCTCATTCTTAACCTTTTTAAACAGAAACAAAGAGGCTCAGAGTCATTGCCATCCAGCTGAGGACTTACATATGCCCATCTTCTTTCTGGGTTCTGTCCAGAGAAGGTAAGCAGATTTGGACTTTTACCCTATTTCACTTGATCGTGGAACTCTATGAAGACTTTTGGAGGGCTTAGGAAGGTAAATCTAGTAAGAAGGGGAAAACTCATCTGTCTGGTTAATCAAGATAAGAATTATTAAAGGGCTTATAATACTCGAGCCCTTGAAGCTACTATTACAAAACTAAGAATTCAGCCTTTAGGTAAAACTAAAATATTAAAGAGGCACAATGCAGTCATTTATTATACACAATAAGTTTTCATTAGACAGTAAAAAGTTGTTTCAAATTCTGAAGGCTTTATGAACTCAATTTTTAGAATTCCCATATTGATTCAGAGCAGGTAATGATCAGGATATAATAAAGGAGGCAAACAGACAATGTAGAATGTTTGGTGCTTGACTGACTAGTGGTTGCTGCTAGCAGTTGTTTGCTATAGTAGAACTAAGTGGTGTTTTTTTTTCCCAGGATACTATGTGAGATAATCAAGAGAGACCACATTAACTCAGTCTTTTAGAAAAGTAGAGGTGTTGAAGTAGATTTCATTTAATCCCAGTTTAAATTATCCAGCAATTGAGTGAGTGTTGCAGTTTGTAACCAAATTCAAAGTTGGCAAGTATAGCCTCTTCTGAATTTGCTTGTCTGATTTTACTCTGCATTTCTGTGGGGCATTTGATATTTGTGTGTTTTTCCTTAATAAGAGTTTTGGTATTCCATATTACTATCCTTACCATTATAATTCCTTTGCACCAGGATAAATCACTACATTTACTGAAAATAATCTTGTTGCTCATCTGTTCTTCAAGTAACTTATGCTTAGGGAAATCCTTCAGATGCTTTGTAATGGCCCAAATTGAGTTATTAGTTGCAGATCAAGGTCTGCTTTTAATAATCACAATAACTAAAATGCAAGAAACTGTGTCCCAAAATACAACCAGTTCTGCTTTCATGTGTTTGTAATAGTGTTAGGGTCAAACCCAATTAACTCAAAATATTTTCTTTCTTTTTTATTTTGGTTAGATGGATCACAGTACACATATTAAAAAAGGGGAAAAATCCTTTAATTGGAAATTTTACAATTGAAATAACTTTTCATCTAATAGACCACATTGATTTTAGACATTGAAAAGTGCTTAAAAACCAACTGCGCCTAGTCCCCAGTGCCATTTCCTAAGTGCAGAACAGAAGTGATGTCTCCAGCAGTAGGTATAGTCTATTTTCCCTCTTCTTCCTTGCCCTTCCTTTCCTCTTTGCTGCAGTCTAGTTCAGTATGAGATACCTATAAACTCTAGCGTGGACCTACAGATACAGATCACAGCTGCAATGAAACTTTGTAAGCAGGTGGGGATATGATACGTAGTTAGAATAACTAATAGAAACCCTGTCACCACCTTCAGGGGAGGTGAATTTCTTAATTTTTTCAGTTGTAAGAGTTGCTTCTTAGCCAGTTCTTTTCCAGGACTAGAGAATGTAGAGTGAACAGGGGAGGAGGGAGCTGATACCACAGCTTTAAGGCATTAACCAGGACATATCCCCTGCCAAGTGTCGCCCCCAGGAAGACATTCCCTTCCCATCTGCCATTTTTCTGGCTCATTTTTAGAGAAAGCTCAAGGACTCTTGGCTTTTTTTTTTTTTTTTTTTTAATGTAACTGGCTTTCCTAGGCTGGGGCTTGAACAAAATGTTAACAAAGCCAAGGAACTCAGGTCTAGATAGCAGAGAAGTCAGTCCCCTCCTACAACACTGCAGCCATGCAGGTCTACCCAGCGAAGCTGTTTCAGATTGTATGTCTCTGACTGAATTATTTATATATAAAGTTCCAGACTAAAATAAGTGTTCTAGCTGACTGTTTGGCTATGCTGTGTCAGTAGGATGTTGAGATTCCAGCTTTCACTCTTTGGAGACATTTTGACCAAAGCACCGTAAGCCATTGCAAGAACTGGTCTGGTGGATGTTCTCTGCCACGGGTAGCTCATGGCTTGACAGCAATACTTCTCTTTCTCCGTCCAACATAGACTTGGTCACCTGAAAGTTAGAAGATGAGTAAGAGATTAAAAAGTATCTTGTGGTCTCTGGAGACTTTAGCTCGGGCAATTACGACAACTATGACTACTGTAAAACTAATTTGAAAGTTGAACTCTTTTGTAAAGCCTATCGATTTAAATTGTTTACCCTATTTTGTTACCAGATTGCTTCTCCTTCTCCTCCCTAAATTGGCACTCTCCTTCCTTTCTCCCTAGCTGTTTGTTTGATTATTATGCAAATCATGTTGGCAGGGTCTGCCTTTAGTAATTAGCATTTGCCTTATTTTTCCAGGCTCCTTATGGAACAAATTGTCCTCCTAGTATCCCAGAAACGGGAAGTTGAGGCTTACCTTTGTCTCCTTTTTCTCCCTTGTGCCCTCGAGGGCCAGGTGGCCCAGGCTGGCCAGGTAGCCCAGCAGGGCCCCGCTCACCTAGAAGGACAAAGCATGCTAAGTAAAGCACAGTTGCGGGGCCTGGAGGAACAGCATAGCACTGGCAAGGGAGTTGCTTTTCGGCAGGAGGGTGTTGTTACATGGGATCCCGGTGGCTGTTTCCCGCCACCACTTACCTTTCGGTCCTGGGATGCCCATCTCTCCCTTCTGCCCAGGGGGTCCTGGAATGGTTCCATAAGCTGTAAGGGGGAAAGATGGTTTTAGACTAGCAATCGCCCTTGAAGCTGGGGAGATAAAGTGATTGTAACACAGGTGGTGATAGAGTTTGGGCTTGTAGAAGGAAAACAAAGTTTAAATCTGCCAGATTTTCAGCGTCTCAGGTATTCGGTGAAGTTTTTCAGGAGAGTAGTTTCTGTGGAGCAGGCCCCATGTGAGACTGTGCAGCAAGTTATGGGCTGGGAAAACAGAAGATCCTTACTTCGGAAAAAGTCCATGAGGTCCTCAGTCACATTGCTGTAGGCAGAGAAGACCTTGCTGATGCCGGGAGGCCCCTGGGGCCCAGGCCGGCCTGGCGGGCCCTGGACAGTGTAGGCCATCCCTTGCAGTAGGCCCTGACCTGTAAAAACACAAATGTGTGGGTACCCTCTTCACAGTGAAAGTACAGCACCCTATAATTGTCTAAGCCCCGATAAAATTAAACTAGGTTAAGTGACAGGAAAAGCCCTGTGGCTTTCTTGTCCTCCCCTGATGACTGGCACCAGTTTCTGCTGCAGTAGACTTTCATCAAAGGCTTTTTGCCTGCACAGCTGTGCTGATAAGGTACAGGGAGAAAGGCTTTCTTAGCCATCAGCCTTCCCTCAGCCCCAGCAGAAAACCATTATAGTCATAAAGACTTCTGAGACCCACACAAGTTAGTGGGAAAGCAAAGAACAAAGACACCAACATGCTCTGTTCCCCGTAGCCAAGGTTCTGGTCCTGACTGCAGCCCCTTGAACTAAGCTGGCTGAGAATTAGATTGGAGCCTCCTGTCTTCAGTCCCTGTCCATCAGATTCTAGGATTGCTGGCCTCACAGCCTAGGTGCTCTAAAAATGAGAGGAGTTTCTGGAGCCTAGATGTGGAGATGCTCACATGCTCCTCTCACTGCCCCCACTAGCACCGAGGCCAAAGTGTCCCCACTTACGCTGCAAGCTCTCGGACACCCGGACAGCCAGCTCGTTGTAATCCAGACCGCCAGCAAAGCCGGCTCCAAATGATCCACCATCACCACCGTACATGCCACCTGCTGCTGCCCCATATCCTTGGCCCAAGCCAAGGTCTGGGCCGAAGGCACCCCCTTCACCCAGGGAGCCTCCACTGGCACCTCCTATGCCCATGGAAGAGCTGTAGGAGGTGCCCCGGCTGATGCTGTGTGAGGAGCTGCTACCCTGACTGAAGGAGCCATCCATGGACCTCAGGCGGCTGTCTCCAGGTGGTCCCTGAGGCCCCGGAGGGCCTGGGGGTCCAACAATGAAGCTGCGCACATCAGGACCTGTGGGGAGGAAGCTGCGTTAGCGGGAGCTCAGGTCTGGGTGGAAAGAGGTGGGAGTTAAGAGTCCCAACAGCCCTAAGCAGGATGTGCATATTGAGGCACTTTTACACGAGCAGGACTGTGCTGGTTGGGAAGAAACTGGGCTTTCCTCAGTTTCTTCTCATGTATTTGGCCTCCCAGGGTCCTTCAAGTACTTTCTGCTCCCCTTACAGGGAGAAGCAAGGTCTAAAAAGGGGACAGAGGAGGGACAGTGATGTTCAGGGCACCTACTTGTCAGGTAGCTAATCAGTTCACTCCGGAAGCTGTCGCTGTTCTCAGCTGCATAGGTTGCCAGAGCTCCTGAGACACCTGGAGGCCCTCGAGGGCCTGGGGGTCCAGGAGGGCCCGGAGGGCCTGGGATGGATGACAAGCCAGCAGCTGCATGGGAAGCAAGAGAAAGATCAGGGGTCACCCTGCTGAGAACACTGCATTCCCAGCCTGGGCTCAGGGCCCCATGTGGCCCCCCTCTCTGAAAGGAGGCGATGAGGCGGGGCCCCTGGATGAAGGGAGGAAGAATGACAGAGGCTCAGAGCAATACCCAGGAATGACTGCTCTCTACTGGCCCACTCCCAAGTCTAAGCCTCATTCAACCCAAATCACCTTCCCTCCCCCTCAGCCTTTCTGTCACTGAGAGTTGGAACTCCAGCCCTGGTACCTGCTCACACCCTGGCTCATGAGTTCTCTAAGGGCTGTACCTGGGAACACTCCCTACTTTGCCCTTTGCCCAGGCTGAAAGCACCTCAAAGCTCATGCGCCCCTTTCCAGGGCCCAGCCGTGTACGTGCTGCAGGAGGACTTGGTAACTGGTGACTGGCTTAAATGCATGCCCGCCCTTGTTTAAACCCCGGGAGCTCAGGTCTGGGTGGAAAGAGGTGGGAGTTAAGAGTCCCAACAGCCCTAAGCAGGATGTGCATATTGAGGCACTTTTACACGAGCAGGACTGTGCTGGTTGGGAAGAAACTGGGCTTTCCCCAGTTTCTTCTCATGTATTTGGCCTCCCAGGGCCCTTCAAGTACTTTCTGCTCCCCTTACAGGGAGAAGCAAGGTCTAAAAAGGGGACAGAGGAGGGACAGTGATGTTCAGGGCACCTACTTGTCAGGTAGCTAATCAGTTCACTCCGGAAGCTGTCGCTGTTCTCAGCTGCATAGGTTGCCAGAGCTCCTGAGACACCTGGAGGCCCTCGAGGGCCTGGGGGTCCAGGAGGGCCCGGAGGGCCTGGGATGGATGACAAGCCAGCAGCTGCATGGGAAGCAAGAGAAAGATCAGGGGTCACCCTGCTGAGAACACTGCATTCCCAGCCTGGGCTCAGGGCCCCATGTGGCCCCCTCTCTGAAAGGAGGCGATGAGGCAGGGCCCCTGGATGAGGGGAGGAGGAATGACAGAGGCTCAGAGCAACATTCCCAGCCTGGGCTCAGGGCCCCATGTGGCCCCCCTCTCTGAAAGGAGGCGATGAGGCGGGGCCCCTGGATGAAGGGAGGAAGAATGACAGAGGCTCAGAGCAATCTCGAGGGCCTGGGGGTCCAGGAGGGCCCGGAGGGCCTGGGATGGATGACAAGCCAGCAGCTGCATGGGAAGCAAGAGAAAGATCAGGGGTCACCCTGCTGAGAACACTGCATTCCCAGCCTGGGCTCAGGGCCCCATGTGGCCCCCCTCTCTGAAAGGAGGCGATGAGGCGGGGCCCCTGGATGAAGGGAGGAAGAATGACAGAGGCTCAGAGCAATACCCAGGAATGACTGCTCTCTACTGGCCCACTCCCAAGTCTAAGCCTCATTCAACCCAAATCACATTCCCTCCCCCTCAGCCTTTCTGTCACTGAGAGTTGGAACTCCAGCCCTGGTATCTGCTCACATCCTGGCTCATGAGTTCTCTAAGGGCTGTACCTGGGAACACTCCCTACTTTGCCCTTTGCCCAGGCTGAAAGCACCTCAAAGCTCATGCGCCCCTTTCCAGGGCCCAGCCGTGTACGTGCTGCAGGAGGACTTGGTAACTGGTGACTGGCTTAAATGCATGCCCGCCCTTGCTGAAACCCATGGAGCCCTGAAGGCTGGCTGCAGCCCTCTGCCCTCCTCACCCCTGCTCCCCACGCCTTACTACGCAAGTAAGATGAGAGGTCCTCCGCGCTGATGCTGGACCACGCGTTGCCTGGGATCCCCGGTGGCCCAGGGGGACCTGGGGGCCCGACGATGCCTCTGAATTCAGACCCTGAGACACCAAGGAAAAGCAAGGAGTCAGTCACGGCCTGGGCCAAGGGCTCTGCCTTCTGTCCCAAACCGCTTGGACAGATGTCCCCAGCTCAGCCTTACCTTGGAGCAAGGAGAGGAGCTCTTCATAGGATGTCCCCGGCAAGCCAGGGGGTCCAGGGGGCCCGGGAAGCCCAATGCTGATTCCAGAACCTGAGGAACAAAATCCCAAGTTGTAATAGATTCAGATCAGACAGGGAAGGCAAATGGAGACACCCTGTCAGGGAGGGAGCCAGGCAGACGCAGTGTGAATAGAAGTGGGGCTGAGAGAGGGAAAAGGGGGCGGCAGGAAGGGACCAGCAGAAAGATGGACGCAGAGACACAATCCTGGGTAACGACACCAAGGAAGAGGGGCCCCAGGTAGATAGTGGGAAGAATGCGGGTTAAAAAGGACCCACATCCCTCCTCCCGCTAGGTGCGTGGGAGTGTTTGTGCATGTCGAGCAATGAATGTGTGGTGTGGTGTGGGGGGAGGTGTTTGTGTATAGAGAAGTGTGTGTGGAGAAGTGTGCATGTGAACTGTGTCTCTCTGTAGAGAAGTGTATGTGTGAGTTGTGTGCAAACTCCAAGCAGGATGGTGCCCAAGACACTCATTTTGGCTTCCCTCGCCAGGCTCCTTGACCTGCCTGGGGCCACAGGTTTGAAAGCTCTGAGTGCCGCTCACTCCTTCTGGGTTTGGTGTGGCTTGACGGGAGACGGTCAGTGGGCCATTCTGGAGAACTTTAGCCCCATTCCCTCACCCCGGGCCCTCCCGATCACCCCTGCCTGCAGAGGACAGACACTCACTTGACATGTAGCTGAGAATGCGAGTGCTCAGCTCTGCATAGTCCAAGGATTGCAGGGACCATTCTCCGCCGGTTCCTGGTGGCCCTGGGGGACCCCGAGGGCCCATCAGGTACTGACGCAGATATTGACGCACATCGTCCCCTGAAAGGAGAGAATGCGCTAGCATGGACCCACCTGGGCCGTGGGGTAGCCACAGCCTGGTGTCCCCCACACGGACTGGCTGCCGAGTGACATGCAAGCTCACTCTCAGGCCCACAGGAGGAAACCAGCAAGTCCCCAAGTACCTGAAGGGGCACCTGCCTGGCTACCTGGCATGGGTTGAGGGTATTTGCTGCCCCCTCTCCAGTCAGCTGCTGACTCACTAGTGGTTGGGTGCAGTTAGGGAGTGGCCTCTTGTCCTGAAGAACCATCCACCCTTTGCAGCCCATAAGACTCAGAGACGGACAAGGTGTGCCTGACAAGGGGAGCCAGGGGACAGCAGAGGGGCTTCCACGCTCCAGCCTGCCGCAGGCGACTCACGCTGTAGTGCAGCTAGGATGTCTTCAGAAGAGATGGTGGCAGAAGACGAGCTGATGCTGTACCCCGAAGCTGTGGGAAAGGAAACATGGGGTTACCTGTGTACCTACTGAAGCAACACCCCCATTATTGCAGAATCACAAAGGCCTGGCCAACTGTCTGTTTCCATTTGGGGGAGACAAATTGAACAGGGCACAGGAAGTTATTTTGAAAACACAGAAAGGTCAAAGTTTTGCTTTTGCTTGGTAAGAAATGCAGTTTGTTTTCAGGAGACACTCATCCAGGTACAGCCCTTAGCCGAACTCCCACGAGACCCTGCCAACCCAAATGACCCCTTTTCACATGCTTAGGACACATTCATCCACTGCGAGAAGGCTCACTAAACACGGCCCTGCAGTGTTGCTTCATCTGGACAAACCCTTTTTGAAGCTAGCTCCCTCCCAGTGGCCTGATGACCGTGAATTCAGATTTGAACATCATGTTCAGAGGAAGGGCAAAGCCAGCAGTGAATTAAGAGATGAGATTCCAAGAACAAAAATGAACCCTGGAGGGAAGGGTTGTTTCAGGAGTGGGAGAGGCTTACTCCGTAAGTAGCTCACGACGAGGCTTGCCAGCTCTGAGTAGTCGAAGGTCTCACCCGCGATGGTGGTGACAGGCCCGGGGGGACCAGGTGGGCCTGGGGGACCCTGAACTCCAGACAGATAGGACCTAACACTGTCACCTGCCAAAAAAGAAAGTCAAGCCTGTCCCCAAGTGGGCATGTCTTCCCTGTGGAGGGGACCTAAAGAACCTGATGAAATACCTACCCCACCCCACACACAGGCCCAAGGCAGGGCCAGCAGGGAGCCTAGACACCCCTTGTTACAAATGGAGACACTGAGGCAGGGGCCTATGCTGGGTCAGGAGGTACTCGAGGGCTATGGGCCACCAAGACTCTAGTTAGCTGCACTTTTGACAAAGTCCTAATGCTCACATTTGCAGAAATCACACACTCACGTCCACAGGGGGCACAGGGATGGGGTTGGGGAGTATACATGTGTGATAGTATGTGTAGTTGTGTGTACATGTGGACAAGCGTGTGGGTAAGCGTGTGGGTAAGCATGTGGGTAAGCAAGCCTCTACTGGGGCGAGGCTGAGGCCATGTGTGTGGACAGCCAGGAGAAGGCAGCAGCTCACGGACCTGTAGTCCCAGCTCCAGGGGTGGAAGACCTGGGTCTGCCTTAGAAATGGCTGTGTATGCACGCACATACGCACACACACACACACACGCATGCACACACAGTCCGACTCCCACCCGGGCACTCACTCTGCATGTACTCAGAGATGTACTGCTGAATCTCCAGGCCAGAGCTGCTGATGGAACCTGGAGGCCCAGGGGGTCCAGGGGGGCCTGGTGGGCCTGGCATGAACATGGTGCTGGATGACGATCCCCCTGGAAGAGAGAAAGCCTTCTGAGCTGGTTTCTCCACCTTAGGGTCAGACAAAGGGGCCCAGGCACTGCTTCTATGGTCTGGGGAGGGAGGGTCTTTCTCAGTAGGAGAAAGAGGACAGTGGCAAAGAGAAGGGCCCCCCAAAAATGAGAGGAAAGGAGTGCCTGCAGCAGTCACTGTCTGCAAGGGGCCCAGAGTTGGGAGCTCTCCAGCCCAAACCCTTCAGCAACCTGCTCTTTGCCCTCGTCTCTAAACAGCCCAGCTTCTGGGCCTGCTCTGTCTCCATCTTTTGTCATGTGCATTGTTAGCCATCTTTATCGTGCAGGGGTCCTTCCCTCCTGCCCCCACTAACTTGCAACCTCCTTAAGGCAGCTCAGAGATCCTAGCACGTGGAGAAAGTACCTAATCAACAATGAATCATGGACGAAGGAATGAATAAATGAATGAATGAATCAGTGTCCGCACTGGCATCATCAGCCTTGCTTGAGGAAGGGGAGAGGAACTTTGGTCACCTTTGGTTCTTACCTTGAAGGAGACCACCGGGAATGCCAGGAGACCCTGGAACGCCGGGATCACCTGGAGTCCAAAACAAGAAGCCCTTGAACATCACCTCCTCTGAGAAGCCTTCCCTTATTAAGTCTGACCACACTTATCAGCATATCTCTTAGTCCATTTCTGCTGTGACACCACGAGCTCCCTTTGGGTAGAAACTGTGTGTCCCCACAGCCCCAACCCTTCCTCCCTCTAGCCCCTTCCTTTCTTTACCCTTTTCTTCCTCCCAAGGCTTTAGCACCAAGTGCCTGCTGCTCACTAGTCAGGCTCTGGGGGGCCAGCCTTACCACTCCTCACCACATTCTTGGTTACTCCCTCACTGACCTTTGTCACCCTTGGGTCCGCGAGGGCCGGGTGGTCCCTGTGGATTGAGTCCGAGGGAACTGGAACCTGGAAGCCAACACCACACACAATGCAGTCAGCCAGGGCTGGGAGCGGCTCTGGCCAGAGCCTGCAGTGGGGACGGGGAGGGGGACTCAGCACTTACCTGAGGAGAACCCTGGGAGGCCTTGCTCGCCTGAGGGACGCAGTGAGAGGGCAGAGGTCAGTTGTGCTGTCCTCCCTCCCCAGGCCCCAGCCCAAGACAGCACCTTCCCCTCCCAAGGCTCTGCAAGATTCATGATTGCTGGGGCTGCACTGTGCTTTGGGCAGCACCTAGAGCGGCCACACACACACACAGTCTCAACCACTGGCAGACACACACTCCGATCTACTTTTGCTCAAGTCTCTTGGAAGGTCAGCTTTCCCCACCCCAACGCTCACCCCCACTCCTGGTTTTGTTTGATACCAGCTCTACTGTACCTTGGTGTCCTCGGGGGCCTGGGGGACCTGAGGGAAGAAGGCAGAGAGTTGTGAGACATGTATTAACCACCTATTGTGACTTCAAGGGGCCCATGGGGAGAGGATGGGGCTCTAGGGCTGGAGCAGACATAGCCTGGGGCTCCTCATGCCTCTCCTCCCACCGGGCCAATGCGCAGGTGGGAATTCTCTGTAGAGCTTCTGAACACCGTGCACCCCACACCCCGTGTTCCTGGCCACCAGTCGATATGTCGAGGCACATCTTAATGTCAAGATGCTGTTCTCACCTTGATCTCCTTTGGGACCTGGGGGGCCAGGTGGGCCTGGAGGGCCAGAGAGGAAGGTCTCTGCAGAGGAAAGAAATAGTTTTGAATGTGGGTGCAGTGATGTTCATGAGGGAGTAGCACCTAACACAGTGCCTGGCATACTGTAGATGCTCAATCGATATTTGTCAAATAGATAGAAGGATGGATGGATGGATGGATGGATGGATGGATGGATGGATGGATGGACTGATTTTCTACTAGAGAGAAGTTCTGGGATAATGTTTGCTCTAAAGTTATTTCCATATATTTCTATATTTTATTGTTGGCATTGATCTCATTTCATGTCCATGTGTCCTGTCTATTTTATCAAACTGGGGCTCCCCAAGGACAGGAATCAGGTTTTCCCAGTCCAGATCTTCCCAACCGCAGAACTGACTCCCGCCCTCAGGCTAGGCTACCAGGGACTATCAGGGAGGCGGGACTGGCATCATTTACCCTCTCTACATGCAGCAGGTGGCATGGAATTTATGCAAATACACCTCCAGTGTAATGTCAGGAGGAAATGTGGTGACTAGGTCAGGAAGGCCAAATGCTGTGACCACAGAATGTACTGGGGCTAGGACCGAGGTGGGGACAGGTGTGACTTGACTGCACATTACCTGAGTTGCTCAGGAAAGATCCTGGTGGGCCCGGCGGACCTGGCACACCTTCCCCTAGATAAGAGAACCATCAAGATTTATTAATGTCAAGAGGTGGGCCAGGAACTCTCTGCCCAGGAAAAGTGGTAGGAAAGCTCTTTCCTAAGAGCCAGGCCAGGGGAAGCCTGGGCTCTGGGTCCCGTCATCTGGCACCTCCCGCCAGGGAGCTCTGTTCTCACCTGCTGGGCCTCGAGGGCCTGGGGGGCCTGGAATGGCACGTCCTGTAGAAGAGAGGGAGGAAGAGGAGGTGCTGAACCCAGAGAACCAATCCCGCCCCTGAGAGCAGGATTTTGGCTTCCTCACTAAGTGCCTCTACTTCCCTGTCCCCCAAGATTCCTAACCTTCCAAAGATCCCCGACATGCTCACCTGGCGGCCCAGGAGGTCCAGGTGGGCCTGGGGGACCTCGTAAATCAAGACCCTCTGTAGAGAGAAGAAAATAGAAATGAGCAAAAGCTGACGTGGAGCTGCTATCTGCCAGCTTCACCCCTCGCCAGGCTACACTCGCACCCACACGCCAAGCCCTGGGTCAGAGCACATGACCCTCAAGCACACCCTCTACTAGAGGCACCCTTGCTCAGAAGCAGGGCAGGGTTGCTGTTGAACTCCCTGATAGCTAATATGGGTGCATTGAGCGATGGCTAAGAATGCGGCTTCAGCGTCAGATAGTCTGAGTTTGAATCCCTGCTCCGCCGCTTCTAGTTGGTGACTTTGGGTGAGCTCTCGACCTCTTTCAGCCACAGCTTCCTCCTCTGTAAACCAGACACATATCACATGTGTCACAGGGGCCTTATGAAAACTCAATGAGATGACATGGCACAATCTCTGGCACATAGGGACTGCTGGACCGGGGCTGGCTGTTGTCTTTGCTGTCCAGGTGTCCAGATGCTCAGGTGCCCAAGTGTAGGAGGCCCAGTGGCATCTCTGCCTGGGCTCTTTAAAGGACTTCGGGAACAGGAGGACCTGGGAGTTGGCCCTCCCACGGACTGAGAACCCACAGACCCTTGTCATTGCCCCCAGTGAGTGGGGGATGCAGTATTTCTGTTGGGGACACTCACCATGTCTGGCTCCCTTGGAGGCCCTGCATACTCCTGGTTCTCGCAGAGTTCCGAGAACCTCACTGACAGCTGCCCCATCCCCAGGGACTCATCCCCACAGCTGACAAAAACCCTGCTGTTCCTTCTCTGCTAGCCTTGCATTCCAGAGGACCTGGTTGCCCTTGCCCACATCTGGGGCTCCTCATGGCTCACTGGTGCAGCTGCCACAGCCCTAGTGCACCGGTGTCTCTCCCTCTGGGCCCTGCGTCACCTGTCCTGGAGAACGTGGGGGCACTCACGGGCAGAGAGGATCTCAGAGATGGAGCTGCTGCTGCTGCTAAGGAAGGATTCACCAGCAATTCCTTGCTCCCCTCGCGGGCCTGTCGGGGAGATCACAGAGTTGGGGTGGGTACCCCCACAGCAACCGGTCAGTGCTTTCCCTCGGGATGGGCTGCAGCGGCCCAGGTGTCTGGGGCAGGGCAGGCCAGCAAGTTGGCTGAGAACTGTCCTGTCAGCCAAGAAACACCCAGGAGGAGGTGGATCAGCTTTTCCTAAGCCTGACTGTTTTTTGGTATTTGGATAAATCTCTGGACAGTGGCATGATCGTCAAGATCTTGTCACAAGAGGCCTGAGGCCTGTGAAAACAGCTGTACCCTGACCAGGGGGCCACAGAGCTTCAATCCCCTGTCCGAAGGACCCCTACTTTCTCAGAGACATGGAAGGGGATGAGAGGCAGTGTCGCCATTGCAGCTGAGGCCTTGCAAGGCCCTTGGTGAAGAACTGTGTCACCCGCCCACCCCCTTCCCCAAATGCATGTCTCTTGCTTCACTTAAAGATCAGAGCCCAAGTCTAGTCTGGGCAGGAAGCCCTCCCGACTGAGCCTACAGTCATGTGTTCCTTCAGGACGTGACATACCTTGCTGTCCTGGGAGACCAGCTGGACCGACAGGGCCTGGACATGGGGTTGGAAAAGAGAAGACTTTGTCACACCCCTAGAGTCACAGTTCTAGAAAGAACTGAAGAAAGCCAGGTCCTGGGTATTCATGTAGCTTCCTTATGAGGCATGAAACAGTGGCTCAAAGAGGTCGGCTTGCTTATCTGAGAGCAATAAGCAATCTGAGACCAGCCCTATGGTCCATCCCAGTGGGAATTCCTCTGCCAGGTACCGGGCCCCCGAGATGGGCAGGACCGCCCTCTCTGACACTGTCCAATGATGAGGGACTTCTAAATGCCCACACTGTCCCCTCTCTCACTGCACTTATCAAGAGGAAAGGCTGGTCCATACTTGCATTGGTCATGTTAAATCATATATTGTATTTACACATGAACATTTTTAAAGAATTAAAAAGTAGATACAGTTGACCCTTGAATAACACAGGGGTTAAGGGCATTGACCCCCTACACAGTATAACCTTGACTCCTTAAAAACTTAACTACTAATAGCCTACTGTGACTAGAAACCTTACAAATAACATCAATAGTCAATTTATTTTGTGTTATACGTATTATATACTATATTCTTACCACAAAGTAAGCTGGAGAAAAGACGTTATTCAGAAAATTATAAAGTTTGTTTGTGAGCTTTTTCAAGTTCTCACAAATCTCCAAAAAATGTTCTAATATATTTATTGAAAAAAATCACATATAAGTGAACCTGTGCAGTTCAAACCATGTTATTTAAGGGTCAACTGTATAACAAAATAACAGGCATTTTGGAAAAACAGAAAAAGGTATTATCCATAATTCCTTAACTTGTAGGCATTTTATTTCTTTTTAGCAGGTTTTTTTTTTTTTGCATCTAGTAAAAATATTGTTGTAACCACAGAGCACACATTATCTAGCAATCTGCTCTTTTAAATAATACCTTTATCTCCTAACAAATTTCTTTAAATCTTCATATTTTTTGTAACCAATTTCATTATCATTGAACAATTTTGGGATATTTTCTCTAGATTCCTAGCATTTTTGTTGCCCTTGATGCATATTATCAAACTGTTTTTCAGGAGGATGTAATTTGAGGACCGAGCACTCTGACTGACTCTGGAGGCAGAAGGATCTGGGCCAAATCCTGACTCTGCTAATTCTTAGCCAAGTGACGTTGGGCAAATCATATACCAGCTTGTGCCTCCGATAGTGCTGTGGCCTGTGCAGTGCTTGGGCTACTCGCTAGTGTGTGATGAGGGCTTTCTCGGCTGTCTGGGAGGGGGCTTTCTCAGCAACCTCATTGCTCTACTCCCCCAGTTTCTGCCCTGTATTTCAGGATTTGGGTGAATGCTGCTACATTCAAATGCAACCAAGGCCTACTGCTGATTTGGGGCAAAGCAAGAAAATGGACTGACCTGGGGCACCTGGAGGTCCTGGGGGTCCCATAGCTCCAGGAGGTCCCGGAGGGCCTGGGACGGTGAGAGTCGATGACCCCTCTGAAAACAGAAGGCACATGGAACGCTGAGTCCCACTCTTCTGGCTCAGGGGTACTGGGACCCATGCCAGGCCAGCACCTCTTGCTCTCATTACTTCTAAACTCCCCCCACCGCCTCACTGCTGAAAGAGCCCAGCACTGCGTCCTGCCCAAAGCTCCCACAGACTGGCACTTCTTGGAGGCTGTTAAGGCAGAGCTGGGGCAGATGCTGGGTATATGAGAACATACAACACAGGGCCAGCCTACCTGCAGTCATGATCCTGCCTGAAGCGCCTGGTTCACCTGTGAGGGGAGGAGAAGGAGAGTGGTTGTTCCCAGGATCAGTTCCTGGCCTAATAAATCACTTCCAAGGCTTCTGATTGCATTTGAGATCCACTCCTGGGCCTCTAACTGCAGGCTAATGGCACTTTAATGAACTAAAGGGAGCATGCAGGACGCATTAAGCACCAGTCTCTGCACTGGAGACCCTGAAGGCCGAAGTATTGATCTTCTTGGCCCACATTCGCTTTTGGAAGAAGCTGGGACTCCATGCAGGGGCTTCATTGGTGGATGTCAGAGAGTTTGCCTTTTAGTGATGCTGGAATGAGGCTGACTCAGGAGTCATTCCCACTCTCACTCTCTGTCTTCTACAGATGGCATCTCAGCGGGTGTCTCAGGCCCTTACTGGGAATGGCCTAAGGTAGGAAATGCACTGAGAGGTCAAAGGACGGAGATGTGAGCCTTCCCGGTAAGGCTTGGTTCCAGGGTGCCCCTTGAGACGCTAGTTCTCTGGGACAGTAGTAGGAGCTGTGCAGAGTTAAAAGGGGATTCTGTGGCTGGTAAGCTGGGAACTGTGTTACGTAAATGTTAACAGATCTCTTTTCTGCCTGTGGCTTTAGAGGGTTGAAAACACGGAGGACTTCCGGGAAGGGAATGTCGGAGTCACACTGTGCCACATGTATTGCCTACCAGATGCCATCTCGGAAATCCAGACTCAGGAGCCAAATGAGTGAAGCAGAGGATGGAAAAGGCCTCCCCTGGGGACCTTCAGGGGCCCCTTTTGTCATTTCCCATGGTCTGTGAGCAATTCGGTCACCCGCACATGGGGATGATATTGACTTCCCTCCGAGGGGAAGTGGAGGGTGGGCCTCTGCTGGCCATCCGCCAGCCCCCGGGGTTCATTTTACCAGTATTAGGTAAAATGCTCGTCTGTTGTGTGCATTGTCCGGGGAGGGTCTTAAGTTCCCCGTGCAGGAAGTCACAGGCCCTCAAGGACGGGGTGCCTGGTATCCTGGGGAATCTGCAAACCTGTGCGTGTCTAACTGAAGGTGCCATCAATCCATAAAAGGACCTACGGACCCAGAGATCTGTCTGGGAAGTGCGAACTCAGTTGTTATTGTTTTTAATTACATTTATTTGTCCTAAAAGAACTCCTTGGCCCAACTAGGCATTGGAAATAGTTTCTGGAAAGTAGTTATTTTATTCCTTGGGTCTCCCCAAGGTGACAGTGACTGTTCGTGACAGAGCATAGCTCCATAGAATATCAGGGTTCAGGGATAGGAGGTCACAGGGACAGAAGAAGTCCCTGAGAATCATTTATCCCTGGACTGCTCAAGGTTGGGGTCTAAGGGTGCAGAACTGGACAATGGCAGGGGAGCAAAACAGGACAAGAGTGCCACCCTCTGTGTGGGGGTCTCCACGTCCACTCCAGTCACACCCCAGGGACGACTTTCCCTCTTAACAGCATCTTAGATGTTCCTCCCTTCCTGGATTAAAGCCCCCTGTGTGGATAAAACCAGAGGGGGTGGTTCCTGTCCTGGGGAAATGTCACAGTATGGGGACCAAGCCTAAGTGAGGGGGGATAGGGCATTAGGGGGACATTTTAAAGGTAAGCTAGGGGTGGACTGGCTTGAGGAGGATGGGCAGCACACTTTCAGATCCTCCTCCAGCGAGAGCCTGAAGATGCCCAGGTACCATACTGAGGCTCGGGATTTGGGCCAGGGCGGGCGGGGGCTGCCAGCGCTTGAGGTTCAGGCTCTGTTGATCAGAACTAGTCTCTGGCTTCCCGGCCTCACGGCCTGGGACTGAAGCCACTAGATGCCACTGTTGATCCAGGCTCTGGGCAGAGGGGCGTCCCTCCTGCCAATCCTTCCCCTCCTGAAGAAATGACTAGCGAAAGAAGGACTATCTAATCTGGAAAATCACTTACCTTTAGCCCCTGGTCGGCCGGGGGTCCCAGGAAGTCCTGATGTGATTGAAAACAAGTCAGTCAGGATGAGTAAGGCCCAGCAATTCCAGGCACCCTCTGCTAGTAACTAGCGCTTCCTACGGCACAGCCACAGTGGCCTATGGGAATCTGGAGACCTATCTGGCTTTGCCTTCTGCTCTAGCCCAGGTGGCCCCTGGGGCGGGGGCTGGGGACCAGGGGCTCTTTGTCTGACTGAGCCCCTTCTCGGGAAATGGGGCAACAGCTGGGCTCGAGGGAAGCAAAGGCCCATGGACTTAGCTTTGGGGGATCTAAGTCCCTCTGGGTTATGAGCCCCCAGCAGTCAGGAAAGCAGCCACTGTCTCCACCTCTCTCCTGCAGCGTAGGGAAGTAGGGGCTGGGCTTCCTAGAGCTGATGCAGCACCCACTTCTCGCTTTCGTCTGCTGAATTCTACCAGTGAGCATTTGAAGGACGTCCCTGTGCACTCAGATTTTGGGAGGACCTGCTGCTTGATTTCATTTTACGTCTTTGCTTTATTTCCTTTAGGAGTTGGGGCTGGGTATGGTGACAACTTCTCAAATCCAAATGGGTGCGCACTGGTCCAACTATAGGACCGACTTTGACACTGAAGCTGTCGCAGAGAAACTGGGCCCTTCTGCGTGCGGCGAGCTGCCGCTCCCTCCCACCCAGCGCGGCTGCCGGCCTCCGTGGGACCGACAGAACTCCCAGAACTCCCGGGCCTGGAGCCTCCTTGCGGGAATTCCTGCACCGGAAGGGAGCAGGGCGCAGGCAGACAGAAATGGCACATGACCTAACTTCACTTCTACCAGAATGGCTTTCTAGATTGTTCTATGGACACTTTTCCTTCCTCAGGTGCTTCTCAAGACTCACAGTACTAGGACCTGGACTCATTTTTGCTGGGAGGCTGAGGGGAGGAGGAGAGGAAACTCTAAGGTGACTGGAGGAGAGGCGCTTGCGGAATTCAGGAAGGCTGGGATGGGAGGCTCGGCAGGTGGTGTTTGGAGGCGGGAGTGACCCAGCGACTCACCCTGAGGTCCTTGGGGTCCCGTGAGACCTACAGGAAATAAAACACAGGAGGGGGGAGTTGAAGGGGTGAGGAGCTGCACCCTCAGCTGCAGGAGCTGGACGGATCGATGGGGTGGGAGGACAAACCCCGAGTCTGGGGCCACCAGACTCCAGGATCCCCCAGCGCTGGCCGGAGAGCAGGTCCTGCACTTGGAGGTGAAGTGACCCGCTGCTCCATCGGGCGATGGTCCCTAGCCCTTTTGGGACCACAGACTCTTTGGCATCTAAGAGCTATGGATCTAGAAATCTCATACAATCATTGACCCCTAATGCTGCCCCCAGGTTCCCTCCTTGGTGTTTCCCAACTGCGCCCCCCCACAAAGGAGCCGGGAGGCCCCCCTGGTCCTCACAGCCTGCTGATGAACAACCTCGCCCCTCACAGCTCTCTCGGCATGGTTTGGTCTGTTCCTACCAACGCCCTGAGGATCTTGCTCTGCTTGGGCCTTCGGCAGAGATGCCAGCAATGGCGTCTCTGCTCAGATGGGTGTGTGTTGGTGAGGGTCGAGGCATGGCCAGCCCCGGAGAGGTGGACCGAAGGGGAAGGGCTCACAAGAGCAAGGCACTGAGGTGGCGCTAAGCTCTGTGATTTTTAAGAGACTTCTTGCCTCTTCCTCGAACCCCTTGCTTTCCGCTGTTGATGTCTTCCTTCTAGTTGCCAGACTTGATGACTCAGGTGTCAGGACACACACACACACACACACACACACACACACAGAGCAAGGGCATGGCTCCCTCTTCCCACTCTGGTACCTGGCTTTCCTGGGTCTCCAGAAGGTCCTGGTAGGCCTCGGGTCCCAGGCATCCCTGTGAGACCTTGTTCGCCTAGAGAGAGCATGACCAATGTGCAAATGTTTTCCTTCTAGGAAAGCCGAACAGGCCGGCACATCTTAGTCGACGCTTTCTTCGGGGTTTTGCCGAGTGACTTGCGGGCAGGTGGGGAGGAGAACACTAACAAGACCTGGGCTCTGCATGTTTCCACGTGACACATGCCCCTCTGGTGTTATGATTAGGGGATGTGGGCAGGGCAGGGGGTGGCAGGCAGGGGAGGCAGTGAGAGGGAGGGGAGCCGATCAGTGACCAACCTCTTGGGCCTTGGTGTCCGTCAGGGCCAGCAGGGCCTAGGGAAGCAGAACCACAGTGCGTCAGTGACTCCAGGAGCTATTCTGGGACACCCTCCCTCTCCAGCCCAGCAGCCTCACATCAGGTCGTCTCCCAGGCAGGGAGCCCATGGGCCCTTCGTCTAGCCGTCCAGTGCGGAGAAAGCCTGGTCTCTGTCACATCACCTGGACGCAGCTGTCTCCCTGCCCTCTTCTCCGAAACCAATGTTTATTTTCCTGTGAAGAGCTGCTCAGCAACGCCTCACTGCATCTCTAGTGCCCTTCACAGGACGCAGCCCACACCAGATGCTCAATAAATGCCTGCCTCAGGTACTCGAAGTCCTGCAAGTCAGGGTCCTCCAAGTTCTTGTCCCTTCTGCTCTGGGCATTATCCCAACCTCTCTGAGGTCCTTCTGGGACCAAGTCTTGCCTTTCCCCGCATCTTTGTCTTTCCTCCCCCATGTTGTTGTCTCTGCACGGAAGTTTCCAAATTGACCACGATTAAAATCTTTCTTACTTTTTAAGACAATCTGAAATGCCACAGCCTTCATTCTCTGGTTGGAAGAAATCTCCCTGCGTATCCTCCTAGCACAATGTCCTTTTTGAGGCACCTGTCACCCCATATAGGCTTTATCTTCCTTTCAGGGAAGTGAAGCATCTTATTTGCCCACCAAGGCAACCTGCATGCAGTCAACACTTCCTGATAATTTGTTAAATGAATGAGAAAGTGAATACACTTCATGCACCATCGGTGGGGCTTAAACCCTTCTGGGACTCGGTGCTAAATGCCTGGCCTTCTGAGGGCCCTTGGCCAGCTTCCATGTCCTGGCCCCCAGGCCCCTCGGTAAGGGTCAGCAAAAGGGTCGAACCCTGGATTCGGCTGTGAGACCAGCCCTGGAGTATCAGGGAATATCATGGGTTCCAAAGGACCCCAACACCTTCCTGTCCTCCCTTGGGGCCTCCTGGGTGGCTTAGAGGCAGAGAGCAGGGTGGAGGCCATGTCCTGCCATACCCCCCATACCCTGCCCCCCCAACCACAGCAGTGAGAAATCCACGGTGATGGTTGCCACTCTCTGAGCCCCAGAGGGTATGAAGGCCCAGGAACGGCCTGTAAATGGAGCCTGTACTAGGGGTTGGGCAGATATGAGAACAGAAGAAGTGGCTCTAGAAGTATCTCAGCCCTAGAGCCATGACGATGACCTGGATGGGGCAGACTCGCTGCGTTTGCTCCTTCGGGACACTCACCCATTGCTCCTTTAGCTCCAGGCTCACCCACAGCACCAGGCAGACCTCTCAAGCCTGGCTCACCTGCAAAGGAAACGGGATGGCCGGTTGGAGGCTTCCAAGCTTCACGTCCTTGGCAGTGGTAGGACGCTGCATCCTCCCTGCCCACTCCAAGCCCGCCACCTCCCCAACCTGATCAGCTTGGGGTGCCAACCGGATGTTGGGGATGCAGTGTCTGCTTAGATTTTATGGTCAGATTTTTATGGCCCCTGGGCAGCAGGCAAGTTCTGGCCCAGAGCCACGCCTGGTCTAAAGGAGTATGTATATGAGTCTTATTTTCTTGGCAACAGAGAGCTGCCCCTTGTAGGCACAAGTATCGTTACTATTAATTTCCTTTTTAATCATGCGAGTTGGCAGGAGGCGAGTGAATGAGGGGGTGCAAGCAGTGCAAACTCTCTGCTACTTTGGGAAGAGCTTGATTTTCTCAACTGGATTCACCAAAAAGAATCAGAGATAATCATGAACTCCCTTTTCTGCCCTAAACATTTACTGTCTGGACTATACATCTTGATGCTGGCTTATACTCCGTTCAGCGCTCTATTTCATCTTGTGCTTTTCCTAGATTGCAAGTTCTCTGAAGGTTTTTAGACAGAGATTCTGTTTCACACTTTTGTATTTTTTTTCCCCACCTCTACTGCCTGATAGATTTACAAAATTCCTTTAAGGATCAAAGCGGATTCCCGTGTAGGACTGACCTGTGAGGCCTCGTGGTCCTTTCTCGCCCTGGTCACCTAAAACAAAAATGGGGTGGGGGTAGGGCAGAAAGGATCAGTCAGTCAGGAGCAAGGACAACATTCTCACCCAGTAAGATGGGCGCCAGACTCCTGACACCTGGTAGAATAGTTCTCATTGTATCTGGAAGCTACTGCCAGCAGAATGTTGGAGAAAACTTGTCATTCATGAAGCCAAGGGGGGCACTTTGATGTCCCTCGGGGTTGGGGCCCACCCCTAAAATGCCCCCAGCCCTTGCTGGCATACAGTGGGTGCTATGGGCACAAGGAGAACCTGACAAGGAGGACAAGGACCTCATTGTTTACCCTTGTCACACCGAGGGCCACCCAACCACAGCTCTGTAATGTGGATGCTTTGTGTCCTCTCTTTGTGCCTTGGTTTCCATATGTGAGAGATTGCACTAGGATGTCCTCCCACATCCCACTCAGCTTCAGGGACCAAGAGCCAGAGTCTTCTGCATTCTTAGGCCCTGGGGCCGGGGTCACATTTGGGTTCTCAGGAGTCAAGCAGACTCTGGTAATGTATGAGCTGCTAGCAGCAGGAGCAACATACCTTTGGGTCCTGGTGGTCCCATAGGTCCTTTGTCACCTGAAAAAGGGTATGGACATCTTGGTGTAAAAAGCTTTGGCAAGGAAGACCAAGAAGGGCAGTGCTCCACGTCTGAAGACAGGCCCCCAACCCCACAGCCTTGACCGCCCATCTCCTCATGCACTCTTCAGCCTGCACAGGCTGTTGCTTGTGCCCATTAGACCCTTGCTGACCCCCACCCCAGACCCTCTTCTTGAGTGAGCAGCACCTACAGGTGACATCCCCTCCCCGGTCCTTCCCTCTAGCTTACCTTTGACACCAGGGAGTCCTACTTCGCCTCGGAGCCCTTGGAGACCTACAGGGCCTGCGAGCAGAGGAAACCATGCAGCAGAGTGAGTGCCCCAGCTCTGGAAGGGCCAGACACACACGCAGGCACACTCGGGCACACACAATTACACACACATGTACACACGTGCACACAGACACACACCCGTCTTCCTCAGACTCCTCCCCGTGCCCCCTCTACATCGGCCTGGTCCAGGTTCTTTGGCCCTGTGATTACCAGGCCCTGGGCATAAGGACACCTCATGGGACCCTGGCGGAGACACTAGCCTGCATTATAGTGTGGGCTGTAGACTGAGATCCCCAGGAGAGCAGGAGGAGCTCTGGCCCAAGGGATGAGGTAGAGGCAGGCGCTTGCTAGGGTGAAGGCAGGGTGGGAAGTGCCTGCTGCTGAAGCTTCTGGCGGCCGCAGCTCCAGGCCAGGTCAGAATTGCTCTCATAGGACCCTGGTACACTGCCTCAGCCGTAGGGGACACAGTGAGTTTGTGCCTCCAAGAGGCTCTCTTTATAATTGCTTCTTTTGCATTTAAAATGTTTGTTTTCCTTTTTAGCATCCCTTTCTCTGCCCCCGAAATAGCATCTGTTTATACAAAAAAGCACACTTACCTGGGGGACCCTGTGGGCCAGGAGAACCGCTGGCACCTGGGAAGGACAACAAAAGAATTATTAGAAGAGTCAGGTATAGGCCAGGGACATCTGACCCCATGGTGAAGGTCAAGTGGAGGGTTGAGAGTTCACTTCCAGGTAAGGGCTGTGTATATGGATGTCACCCACACAGTGTGGGTTCTTGCTAGGATCCCAGAGCCAGTGGGTCCACAATGACCCAAGTCCAATGCAAAGTCTTCCTCAAGGAAGAAGCGGCAGCTGGTGGGATCAAGAGACCCCTGTTCCTCTCAAGCCAGAGTAAGACATTTGGGCCGGGGCAGGGGGAGGGAAGAGAGGTGACTAGATGGGCATTGCACTGAGACACTCCATACTCCTGGGTTGTCCAGACATATTTATTTCTAATATGTGCACCTAGGTCCCAGTCAGGCACAGCTTCTGATTTCCTGATCCATTCACCCACTCGGGGGTCACATAACGGGGCCAACGAAGACAGAAGGAAACATGGCCCTAAATCCACCACGGCCCCAATCCTGACCCCCAGAGACTGTCTTGTGGAGGGACTCTCCCTGGGCCCATCATCCTTGCACAGGCCTTGGGCAGGGGCTTCGGGCCGTCTGAGATCCCAGCTCCTGGACCTCTGTGATCCATCCTGGACACGGTAAACTTGGGTACCACCCTGGGTGCTTGACTTACCTTTGGGACCCACAGAACCTGGGACACCAGGTAGGCCCTGAATACCGGGTTCACCAGCAGGCCCTGGGGAGAAATGAGCATTCAGAGAGAGTCCCCCAAGTTTGGTTGCCCACCCAACCTGGTGGTGTCATTTGGAGGATGGCTCCCGCCCTGCCAGTGGCCTCTGAGTCATTTGGTGCCTCCCTGAGGCCATGAATTAACAACACACCAGTCTCTACCCCCAGAGCCTGTATACTCCATGAAGTCTGACACCCAGCAGGTACTCAATAAACATTTGTTGTCTTCTCGAGCAATATTTTAAGAGAAAGAAATAAAGCTTCTAGCTCATGATCTGTTGGCATTGAGGGATTTCTGGTTTCTCCTGATACAAACAGACTCATGGTCAAATGTCTAATTGCGAAATTGTCCCTTCAGGATGGATGGGGCCTTTGTCTTGGACTTTCTGGGCCTTCTTCCTTGAAGGAGAGCCAGGAGAGCCTCCAAGGCCTGAACTCTACTCCGCCTTCCATCAGGCCCTGCCCTGCCACCAGCATCCCCCTCAGCCCTGACTCCTCCCCGCCCAGCTCAGGAAGCCCCTTCCCTGTGTTCTCCAAGGTTCTGAGCACCCCGGCTTCTTAGCCTGAGGCCTGGACCTGCAGCCTGGCCCTGGCCCCTCATTAGATCACTGTTTCCAGAGGGCCAGGCGCAGACCTTGGCTCAAGGTGCCCAGTGAAGGCTAGTGAAACAAGGGTGGGAGAAAGATACGAGAAGGAATCACGGATGCAGCTACCCCTCCTGGTGAAGGAATTGCTTCTTACCTCTGTCCCCTTTCTCTCCAAACCCAGGTGGCCCTGGTTCACCGCGAAGTCCCATGGGGCCTTCACGCCCTCTCTGGCCCATAGGCCCCTCCATGCCGGGCTCTCCTAAAAACAGAAATGGCCATATCAGAGTCAGGACCCTGTGCCACAGCTGAGGGTTCCACAGGCAGCACCTCGCTGGTGGGACTCCTGCCTGGAGCCTCTGTCCTGGTCCCCTGCACCTCCCCTCGCCCCTGTAGCCCAGGCTCAACCCAGAAGCCACAGTGATCCTTTGAAAATGCAAGAGGATTATGTCCCACCCTTGACGCAAACCTGCAAGTGGCTTCTCATTTCACTGGGAGAAAACGCTGATGTCCTTACAGGGGCCTTCAAGGCTCCATGCGTTCAGCCTTACTCACCCACTACCCTTCCCCCGAACTTGCCTCCTCCCTCCTGGGACCCTGCTGAGGCCTCCTCTTCCTCCTCCTCCTCACTGCTCCCAGACCTGGCCAGCCTTTGCCCTGGGGCCGAGGCTGCTCCCTCTGCCCGGAATGTTTTCCCAAAATCTCATGCCCCCACCCACTTCAAGTCTGCTCAGATGGTGCTTTCTCAGTGAGGCCTTCCCTGGTGGCCCTATTTTAAATGAACCCCTTAGGACTCCCAATGTCCCAGCAGGCTCTGTCTTGCCCATTTCTAAACTGTCTCCTGTCTGGCTGTGTACTTTACTTATTTATCATGTCTATTGTCTTTCCTACCCAAAAGTAAGCAGGGGTTTCTCTGTTCACTAATGTTCCCCCAACACATGGCAGGCACTTAATAAATGTTTATGGAAAGATAGAGAGAAGGAAAGAAGGACGGGAGGGAGAGAGGGAGGGAAAAAGAAGAGGGAGAGGAAGGATGGGAGGAGGGAATAGTGAATGGAAAAAGCAATTCTTACCCACGTTGCCTTTTTGTCCCTTTGGTCCTTCTGGACCTGGGTGGCCCAAGAGCCCAGGGATACCTGTGGATATAACGAGAATACCTCAGCCCTGTATTCCTCCTGGAACCTGGGAGCCAGGACCACGGAGCCTGCAATACCAGCCACCCCATCAGAGGTTACACACCTGGAGTCCCAGGGAGCCCTCGGTCTCCTGTGGGGAAAGAAATAAGAGAGAGAAATCAGCCAGAGGACTCTGGAAATCACCTAAAGGGGCCACTACTCAGAAGAAACTGTGCACCCCTGGCCTCAGAACCACCCGGGGTGATCAAGACTGCAGACTCCGGGCCCCACCCACCCATCCACACCTGCTGAATCGGAGGCTCTGGGAGTAGGGCCCCAAATCTTCTGGCAATTCTCCTATGCACTGAAGTTTGCAAACCCCACTCAGCTAGATCAAGGGGCGCTGCTGTGGTCACTGGGATGGGAACCCTCTTCCTCCCACCCATGCGCCTGTCCCACTGATTGCCAAACCACTTTTCTGAGAAATATATCTATTTCCTACAGCATGTAAGTGTGTGCCACACAAATGAGCACAAGATTGTCCCCCAACTAACTAACTGTAGGGGCACCTTTTCCTCTGACTACCTTGTGCTGCCTGCCCCTGAAGGCAGGTGGTGCTTCTCCTGCCCAATTTCCCCCACAGGACTCAGGTCCTAACTACTGGGCCTTATTTGCCCTGCTTTCCTCTGCTGAGACCCCTGAGAGGAGGCTGCTCAGCTGGAATGGTGGCTCCTGGCCTGATTCAGCAGAATTAAAACCTGGGGGGAGGGGAGTCAAGCCCCAGAGTGTCTGATGCGGGAGCATGGGATTCCTGGAAGGCCCCAGCAATCTGCGTTTCTAGACATCTCAGTGGGTAGGGTGGGGTTGGGGAGCTCTGTAGTAACAGGCCCTCAGGCTGCCCCTTGGAGCTGGGGGAAATGCAAGCCCTGACACGGGCTACCTCAGGGGCCTTGTTCTGGGAGTTCCTGGAGCCCTGAGAAGAGGTGAAGGACAGTGCCGCCCCAGAGATGTAGAACCCTGCTCTGTCTTGAAGCCTTCCCCCCAAAAGCCCAAGGTCTGCCGGCAGCTCTGCGATTCGTGGGTCTGACCACAGAGGGGAGATGGCCAGGGAGAGTGTGAGGTGGCTTCTCTGATACTCAGTGATTGCTTTAAACTGTCAACCCTGACTATTATTTAAGGTAAAAATCTCTATATTATATTACCTTTAGGTCCTTGACTTCCCATGTCACCTAAAATCAGAAAGATAAAAAAATTGTGACTAGGTGAGAACCCAAGGGCTGTTCTCTCCTGGTATTTTAGACCAGCTGACAGCAGGTGAACTGCGCTTTGAGGTGAGTTGGGTGTGGAGTTTGTGTCACCTGGGCATGTGGCTGGGCCCCTCTTAGAGGATGGCTCAGGTCCTTTCCCATCCTATGATATTCTGACTGTAAAGGCAATTCTCAACCCTCCCAACAGATCCCATAAGATCTTTCCACCACTCATCTTTCAAGTTGTAAAAAAAAGTTTTCTAATCCACCCGTAAAACCCGGCTCCAAGTACAGGAAATGAGAGCAGGGTAAGTGTTCCGTCCACTGCCATACCTTTAGGGCCTGGGCTTCCTAGGAGATTGCCTGGAAGAGAAAACGAACACTGAATTAGGTGCACATCTGTGTGACACACGCACGAAGCAGGTTGCCGTGGTAGATTGGGAAGAGACCCAGGCTGGGACTAGCAACCAGATTCTAAAATGTGCTGGTTGTGTGATCTCGGGCAAGTCTCTCCACGTCTCCGTTTTCCCAACAGTAAAATGGGCTGATGCTACTGGTCCTCCCCGCCTCCCTCTCTCCCAGGACTATGGAGAAGGCTGAGTGCAGAGGGAGTGAGAGAGTCCTGTGGGCGGGCACCGCTCCACACACAGGCGAAGGAGCAGGAAGTGGTGGCCTCACCGTTTTCTTGCTCTCTCATCAGCTTGTCCCTCACGAACAGCCAGAGGACCTCCTGACCGTGGCCATCCAGATCAGACTTCCCCAGGCCCTCGCCCGCCCCGGGCGCTGCGCCCTGCAGCCAGTCCTTGCTGACCCTCTCCGCCATCTTCTCATTGTACAGCTCCACCGAACTCCTGGTTCGTTCCAGCTCATCCACGCGAGCTTTCAGCTTCCTCACCTGGTCCGCTGAAACGGCAGACAGACAGACGGGCCGCGTCAGCCGGGGCACAGAGCCGGTGCCTTCCCAGCACAGACGCGCTCCTCACCGGAAGCCTGAAATGGGGGCTCTGGGGTCTGTGACAGCTTCTTCATGCCATCGGGGACATTTTGCCAGAATACCTACATGGAGGCCATCTGTTGTGGCTACCAGTGGGATTAGCTACTGAAAATTGTCACCGAGCCTTAAAGAAACCTGGCCCAGGGGTCAGTCTTCTCATCTGGGAAGGTGACAGAGCTGGCTCTCACTCCGCCTGGGAGCTGGTGTGTGAGCCAACAGAGCGTGGAGGGCAAAAAGACAACAAGAAGGGATGGCCTGACCACTGAGTGCAACCAGGTGCTCAGGGCACTTGCTGCGGGCAGAGGCCTGGGAACAAGGAGCTGCGTTAGAGTCTCAGTGCTCTCACTAGGTGGCTGTGGGACCTTGGCCATCTGCCTCCTGGAGTCAGTTTCCTCATCTGCAGTAACAAGGGGTCTGCACTGCTAATGTAGGGCCCCTTAGCCCCGACGCTCGGGACACTCGTGATTGCTGCCCCTTGATTGGGCAGTGGGGTCCACAGCTCTGCCGCCATTGCCACGTACCCAGGGCAATGAGGCCGAAGAGCAGCCCCAGGAGTAGCAGCCAGGTGAGCAGCAGGCCCAGCAACCATTTCCACCAGCTGCAGCAGGAGCCGCAGGGGCACCAGGATGGGGCTGCCCCCCACGGGCCCCCGCCAACACCGCTGCCAACACCGCTGCCAACACCGCTGCCAACACCGCCGCCAACACCGCCGCCTTTAATGCCACTGCCACCATTATGTCGGTCATAGCCGTGGATGTCTGTGGAAGAGAGAGGAAGGGGAACGTGAATGAAAATGGCTCTTGCCCTTTTCCCTCCAAATGCTCTGGCTTTTTTTTGATGACTTCCTTTGGGCCTAAGTAATCGTGAGTGGGCTTTCAGGTTCCTCTGCAGGATGAGGGAGGAATGAGGCTGGCTCCTGGAAAGAACACAGGGCTGTGGCTGGTGAAGAGCAGAAGTCTGACAATCCTGGGCTTGAGCTGTATGACCCCGAGAAGGCCACTTAATGTCTGTTTCCTTTTTTTTATCAAACATGGTTAAATGATTACCTACTGCATAGGATCTTTGTTGAATAAAATAAGGCATGCCAAATCATTAACAGAGGATGTAGCATACAGCACTATGTTTAAAAATCTTGATAATGAATTCTGATCTGGCACAACCTCCTGCATTTTATTTAGAGGCTGAGCCCTAAGGCGTTCCCATCTCCACATCTCAGTATTCACAGCTCTTTCTTTGTAATCCCCAGGTGCCTAGAATTAGACTCAGCACTTAAGGGATACACAGCAATTTTTTTTTTTTTTGTAAAAAGGGTTTTTAGTATCTAAAATGGGATGATAACCTTCGATCTGCCTCTCTCACAAGGCTACAGGCACAGGCGTGAGGAAAGTGTAGAGGGCTGGAGATATGTGTGGTCTCAGTCACCCGGAAGCCTGTGTATGTGTGGGGGGTGGTAAGACAACAGTAGCCCTGTTGTGTTGTTCCTGCCACGTGGACCTGGGGGAGGTGGAGAGTGCCTCGCAGTGTGTGTTGGGGGAAGCTGTGAGCAATGTTTCCTGAACTGAGTTTCTTTTGCAGCCCACTCTGTCCCCCAGCCTGTGCCCTTAGCCACCCTCTACCCTGTTCCCTTCGAGCCTTCAGGGACACTCTTTAGAGTTGGGTGGCTCAGGGGTACACTGGCTCCAGCCTAGGGAGCCTTGTCTGTTCCATCACCATAACTAGCTCGATGGGCTCCTGTCCCCATGGGACCACCTTCTCACCTACCTGCTGAGGTGGCCTTGCCTTTCGTGGACACAGTCTTCACATCTCCTGAAAGACAAACACCGAGAACACAGTTTTTGACCTGAGCTTTTAAGCGCGAGGAGACCACAAGACAGCCTGTGTGTAGATTTTGGGCTGGGCTTTAGGTAGACATCCGGCCCCCTCTATCCCCCACCACCCAGACACCTTGAAGAACAGCAAAATGCAGGAATATCCACTAACTCACTCTTCACCGATCTGATATTTGCAATAATTACATTGATGCAGACGTGGCTTGGCAAACAATTAATGGTGGAATAAAGCAGTGTCATAACCCTCTCGTGGCCTGAAAACTTTAAAGCCCAAGACATATTCAGAGGACCATGGTAGGGGTGACCTTTGCTTTCAAACAATAAATGTACTTGTGAGAAATGACTCTTGATTTCTTGGTTAAGGGACTTTGAATACAGGTTCCTAACCTGAGGTGGAGGGAATGGGATGGCAAGGGTGGGCTTGGAGCAGGGTTGTTGGTGAGTCCCTGATGCTATTTGACCATCAAGTGTTTGTGGGCATGTGTGGAATTTTCTGGGAAAATTGTTTACAGCTTTCATCAGATTCTGAAAGGGTCTTTTGGCTCCACAGCCCCATCTCCACCCCTAGAATATAAGGAACCACTAACTTAGAAGACTTAGGGTCAGGCCTTCTCAGGATTATAACTGCTTTCATTTGCATTTATCTAAAATATATTCTATGATGTAACTTTTCCCTTCTTTTAATGATCTCCCTAAAATCAGTGATTTGGAGAGATTGTAGAGGACCCAGAGCAGTGAAGAAATGTGCTTATCCAGGAGAAAATTCAGCTATTTGGGAAGAAAAAAATAAAGCTAGCAAGTGCCTTGCAAAATATTTTTCTGTTAGTTCTGAAAATTAAGGGAGGACAAGTAAGATGAGGAAAAAATATCACTGTGGACTTTAAATACGGAAGACTTTTACTTCAATAATACACATGCATGAATCAATTGGAAAACTTGTTAAAACGCAGCCCCTGACTCAGCAGGTCTGGCCTAGGGCCTGGGAGAATGCATTTCTGACATGCTCCCAGGTGCTGCCGGTCCAGGGACCAGACTTCAAGTAGTGAGGTCTCAAAAGACAAATAAATAAATGAAATGTGGATTGGCCAAAGGCAAGGTAGACAGCGACCAAATTTGATCTTACCATTAGCTTCCAGTAGTAGGCTGGTTTCGGAGGTGTAGGCAGCTTGCTTTTCCTTTTTCAGGGTGTCCTCTGAAAAAGAAGCTGTGCACAAAACCCATGATAATCTAGGATATTCTCTCCCCACTCCCCACCCCTGCCTCACATCTTCTCCTGTTTAGGGAGGTAGTGGTTAGCCTGGTAGGAAAAGGACCCAGTTTTTCAGGGGTTAATCTCTCGATCTGTGCTAGTGGTTGGGAGTCTTGCTACTGTTGCCAAAGGCCCCTCTGGAAGCTCTTTTCCAGAATTTTCCTGGCTTGTCTGGAAAATTCTGGAAAAGACCTTGGGATACCTTATTTAGGCAGGCATTTTTCCTTTGAGTGGGAGGACTATGCTAGCGTTATGAAAACATCTCAAACTGTCTTGCTAGGACATTCGGTCTCCTCACTGTCTGCCTTTCTCCCGAAATCTGAGTCACATGGGCTCCTGCGTACTTGCAGCAATGCTGGCGGGGGAGGCAGTAAAGACCTTCCCGCTGTCCTTGGTCATGATCAGCAGCTCCATCTCCTTCTTGGCAGGCACATTATCTTTCTCCAGGATCAGGAATTTACAGTCTTTGTGCAAGACTGTTTCATCATTCTGGACACTCGTGGTACAGGCTGGAGAGGAAAGAAGTGGGTGAGGAGGAAGGAAAAGGTGTCAAGGGAAAGGAGAGGGAAGAAATGACCGGAAAAGAAGGAGCAAGAAGAGAAGAGTAGGGAGGAAGAGAGAGGTTAGCGGGTGTGTCTGAGGGTCTCCCGCTTCTTAGTAACTGTAGCTACTAAGAAGCATACTGGGGATCAAAGACACCCTCCCCTCCTGGCTGGGCCTGGTGATGAGGAAGTTGGGTCGATGTCAGAAGCACTGTACAGCTGGCGTATGTGGCTGCCTCTTGCCTGGACATTACAGGATCTTTTGTGAATGGGCAAAAAGTACCCCCTTGTCAGGCAGGCCCTTCTTTAATTAACTTGGTAGGTTCATTTCTATCCTTCAGGTCTCAAGTGCTAGTGTCTGGGGCGGAGGTACCATCTAACATACCTTCTCTACCACCTCATCTATTTCTTTCCTTCAAATTATCTTGTGTACTTTGTCTGCTTGTGTACTTTGCCTCTTCCATTGCAATTATCAGCCTAGCAAGGGCAGGAATCTCTCTTGCCTTGTTTACGTCTGTGCTCCAGGTGCTTAGAACAGTCTCATACAAAGCAGGTGTTCGCTAAGTATTTTCTGAATTAATGAATTGTTGAATGGAAGGAAATACACTAGGATCAGAACAATGGAGGAAAGAGCCATGAGCCCAATTAGATAAATAAAGATTCTACAGAAAGTAAGGAGGGTGTGGCAGCTTTGAGCGGCTCCCTGGCTTTTGTGATAGACGAAGTGTAACAGGAGCAAGTCAGGGGCTTCCAGGCAAGGCTGGGGCCTGGGTGTAAGTGTCTGACCCTAGGCAGGTCTGGAGGGTGGAGTTTCTTGCCTCCCTTGGACAGGGAGGTCAAAGTAAGGTCGGGAGGATGCTCATCTCTACTCAGTCCTGGAAATAACTGAGAGGCCATTGAGGTGAGTCCCATTTGCAGACCTTAGGCCACCAGTGGGTATTATTCTCTCTTCCATTGCACCTATCCCATACATCGTGTATCACTGTGTGGCAATTCTCCCTGTGCTGTCGTGCGCCCCTGGACACACCATACCCTGGGACAGCACTCACCAGAAGAGGTGGACACGCCAGTACTCACAACAGCAGGGTTGTGGGGTGCGTTTTTCTTCACACCATATGCTGCAAGAGAGGAACCACTGAGTAAATGGCACCAGTGTGGGAGGGCGGATCCATGCAACTTAGAAGCAGCTTGACCGGCCCTAGCAGACAGGTAGCCTCCCCAGGTGAGTGGATGGCAATAATAATGAATAATAATAATGAATAACAAAATGAAGAATAATGAATAACAAAATCAACTCTCTCCAGCCGTGGAGGCAGCAGTGAGAGTTTAGATGGAACTTTCTTAGTATAATTCTCATCCTTCTAGGACCGTCCAAAGGCCTCCTCCTCCATGAAGTTCTCCTAGACCCTCCCACATCACCTTCCCTTCCCAACTCCAACAGCCCTAATATCTGCTATGTACAACTTGATTCATGTTGTCTTATGGGATTTTCCGATTGTTTCATGTGCGTTAGACTTTCAACTTAAAAGTAAGCAACTGAACAGTATAGTAAGTTGAAGGCCAGGGCTGAGGCTCACACTTCTGTTCCTCCGCCCCCAGGTTTGCACAGAGGGTACACGGTAACATCAGCCAGCTGACTGATTTACGGTGACAGTAGGCTGTCAGGGACAGCAGTGAGACATGGGGATATACAGGTGAACCCCACAGCAATGCTCCTCTGAGGTTTCACTTACGTCTGAGCCAACATATGATGGAGGTTCGGATCTTGGAGGTGGGGTGGGGGGCAGGGATAGCGCTTTGGTGGGAAAGGTTGATTGATTTTTAGTGACATTTCAGTCCTTCTGATCCCGTTGTTGTAAAGGGGTATTGTGAGTTATCGCTGCAAAGAGACATTACTTCCCAGCCCCTAGGCTCCAAACCTCAGCTACTGACCTGTGGAGGTGGTGGCCGCGCCATGGGACAGGGCAGAGGAGCTGGGGCCCAGATTGTTCTGCATGCCAAACACTGTGCAAGGAATTGAAGGCAGGTGAGCACAGGTGCGTAGAGGAGGGCCCTCAGCTTTAAGCGGTCCCCTGCTCCGGGAACCCCCCAAACCATTTTCATGATATATGCCTTTGCATATGACAGAGATTCCCAAACTTTCTCAGTTTTCCCATTCTAAATGACAGCCATTTTTTTGAACGCCCCACCTCCCCACCCTGGGCCAAAAGTTACTAACAGTTCCATTTCTTGAGTAGTTAGAGCCACACAACTTAATAGTAGTAGTTCACACAGAGTCTGGCAGATATCTCTGTATCTCTAAACATTTTTAAATATCCTCGAGATCCTGTTCCCTGTGGCACCCTGGGGTGTCTTGGTACACAGTGTGGGAACTGTGTGCGTAGGATAAGGACGCAGGGGGCCAAGAAGCACTGACTTGGCAGAGCCCTTGTTTTCTCTTGAACTGACTCAAACACATAAAGCTCCCCTGACTCCCATTATGATATCAAAGGCCGGTTGTTTGTTTTTAACAATGTGCAGAGGCTCCTTCCTCCCCCAATTAGCAGCTTTTCTTATTCCATCCCATCTAGTGTTGGGGGTGCAAGGTCTGTGGATCCAATATCCTCAGTCAGGACTTTGCAAAACAGAATAACAAAGGCAGAAGAAATAAAGCATGAACCAAGTGTCTTCTGGGTTTGGTGAAATGCTAGTCAATGGGAGGTGCTGAAAATCAGAATGCTAAATCTGCATTTGCAGATATGCCAGCCAAGTAAATAAGGAAGGCCCACATCATTATATTTATTAGTCATGCTACTGCAGGGAGAAGGCAGATTCCTTTAAAAAAAAGATGTGGCTGCTAAGTTACTTACATACAGGCTATTGCCATGTATGTGGACATAGAGTGAATAAATTTGAGCCTCTAATGAACCGTAAATGTATGAAAAGATCTGAAGTAAGAGCCTTCTAACTTGATGCTTTTCATCTGAACTGTCCTAAAGCTAAGCCTCACTTAGTTCCTTTGCTTCCACTTCTCTACCTCTCAGAGAAAATAAAGGGACCAGCGCAGAATGAGTACGTGAGGTCTCTGGCCCCTCCCCCATCAGACCTCTCCCTTAGGGACCCAGACGTCTCTCTGATAGAGGGCAGGCTCTGTGCCTGCTAACACAGCCCCTTGGCTGCAGCCTCTACATTGGTTTCTGTGCGGGAATGTCCTCACACTCTTGGGCAAAAAGGACATCTATCTCCTTTTCCTCATCCCAATTTTTTTTTTTTTAAGTAAACCATCTAGAAAAGGCAATTAAAGCTGGGAGTACTGACCTGAGGAGGAGGTGCTGATTCCAGGGTGCAGAGTTGGGGAGCAGGATGCCATGTTGTTTGGAACCCCAAAGACTGCAGGGAAGGGGGAAGGCTGGTGAGAGGCAAGTCTGGCCCCAAACAGCGTGGAAGCTCCAGAAGAAACACCAGGGTTGCATTTTTATAACTTTTAAATTTCTGTTTTAGGAAATCTTAGGCTCTTGCCTTGCAGCAGACAACCAAACATTAGTTCTGGTGTGCCTTAGATGCTACCCAAGGGGTAATCATAGGTTGGTCAGGCCTCGAGTGGACACTGGCTTCAGCCAAAGCTCCACTTGTTAGTGACCATTTTATAGAAAAGGCACTTGAAGCCCAGAGAAGATAAATGACTTGCTCAACGTCACAAAATATATCCACATGTTCTTTCCTGTTACGGATACATGGAGTAATACAGTCCTTTTGATAGGAGACTCGTCCTGAAGAAACACGCTAGAGATTGAATTGAATTGAAGTTCCATTGGAAAAGCCCTGGGACATGTAGCCATTTTGGCCACAGAAAGCATCTCTAGACAGCCTTATGGTCATTCATCTCCAGGTAAAAGTGTAGAGGGTTCAAAGGTGGAGGGGACATGCACTGTGCCTCACGTACCTGAGCCTGCAGAATAGGCATTGGTGTTGAGGAGGGACGAGCTTTGGGTTGTCACATTGTTGCGATAAGTTCCCATGGAGGACCCCACTGGCAAGGTGGAAGACCACATGTGGGAGGGAAGGTTGGCATCCAGGATAGTTGTGTCATAGATTCCTTTAACTGGAGACAGACAGACAGACAGGCAGACAGACACATACACACCAGTGAGAGACAAATCAGTATTCTGTGCTGGGATGACCCAGTTGGCTTGGTTTGCTGGGACTTTCCTAGTTTAGCCCTGAAGGTCCTTGTCACAGGACTCCCTCGGTTTCGGGTAAACCGGGGCCACTGGCCATTCCACTTCCCTCTGAAACCTTGGAGTTGGTGCAAACTTTATCTCTGGGATTAGCAATTCTCGCGGCCTCTTGGTAAAATGTGGAGTGGGTAACTTTGGCTCTGGGGTTCGCCCATTTCTCCTTCTAAGCTCTTCTCCCCACCTCCTGGTGCGCTGTCCCCACCAATGTCCTCACTGTCTGTTGCTGACTCCACCTTCAAAGATGCTCAGAAGCGGCGAATGAGGCCTCACAGTGAATCCTGACAGAATTCCAGGCGCAGGGCACACACAGGTAGGAAGCCCTCACTTCCCGGCCGCACCCCGAGGATGACAGCCTTCTCTGGATAAACTCTCCTTAAACATTCCTACATGCCAACTAGACCCAAGGGGCACTCTGCCTCCAAGAGGGGTTTTTGGTGCCACTTCAATTGAAACCAATTCTGCCTATTCCTTATACGAGAGGGAGCTAGTTACACAGGTCATAAAGTACGCAGAAGTTTCAGCTTTGTATTAAAAAACAAAAGGAAGATTACAATCTCAAGGGCTTTTCTTTTCAGTGTCGAATGACGGGAAAGCTTCACATCCTCGCAGGACTGGCTTCTTTCCTCATGTCCCTCCAAGCATCTTCTTATTCCTCTTTCTTCCTCCCACAGAATCTACCTTGTAGTTTGTAGGCACGTGATACATGAGTGTTGAACGACACTCATCCAACCTGGCTACGATCTCTTAGGTTATCTGACTTCCCCCGAGGGCCCTCACCTCCACGAGGATGTGACTGTGTCTGCTTTGTTCATTGCCTTTCCTCAGTGCCTGGTGATTGGCATAGAAGAGGCATATAATAAACATTCATTGAATGAATGAATGAATGAATGAATGAATACACTACAACTTGCCCCAGTATTCTTCATTCGGGGAATCTGGCCAGCAGATTTTGGCCATCTCCTGGGAGAGAATCTCTAGGATCTAGAGCTCAAAAGACGGGAGTAAGAAAGGCACAGCCCACATTTTCATGCTTCACGAGGCGAATGCTCAGTGCTTTGCCACAGCCTGAAAGGCTTGCCAGTGGCGTATGATTGAATTTCTGGGCCAGAGCAAATGTGCTGCCTTGTTCCCTTCTTTCCACAGCAGCCCGGGGCTGCAAGGCTCACCTGACTGGGAGCTCGCCGTCACCGTTTTGGTCTCCATGGTGCCTTTCTTGGGGATGGGGAGCGTGTTGGAGGAATTCCGGGTGGGACTCACACTTGCTGATCGGCTCCCCTTGAGCAAACGTTTAACGTCATCCAATTCCGTCCCTGTAAGAGAATCCCCACGCTTTCCAGTGGGCCCAGGATGCTTTCCTGAGTCCAGCTGCAGTGGGAGTCACATTTATGGCATTGTGAATAGTAGGGAGGATGGCATCTGCTTCACACTCTGGGACATTTTTGGTTAGCCTTATAATTTTTGCATTTTGTCAATTTATAGCACTTATCAACCTGGCACTTTGTAATATTAATGGCCTCGTAAATATAGTACCTCTACAAGGAGGTCAAAGTCATCAGTAGCTACTTCCTAATTACACCTCCTCAGACACCACGGGATGATGATTCTGTAGCTGGAAGACACTGTCATCCTGGATCAAGGGAAATTGACACCTAGGGCAGTTAGAGAACCAGACCTCTTGAAACAAATGGTTCGACAGTGACTTCAGCCCCTGTACAGACTGCCTCAGGTGTTAGGTCCCTGACCTTGTAATCTCTGAAGTGTCAAAAGTAATTTTTGGCCCATAACTCCTAAACATTATGCTGCTTTCATGTGAGTTAATTCCAAGTCCGTCTGGATGGGATTTCTTATAGCAAGGTAATCTAGTGGAGCAGGCTCTCTGACTTACTCAGCTTCTTACCCCTACACCTAGCCCAGTGTCGCTCTCACAGAAGACCCTTAGACTGAGTCATCGTGTGCATGCGCACACACAAGTAGCCCTGGGTTTCTGGATCCTTTTCAGCAAGACAGAAACCACTTACATCGGGTCGATGGGGACGCACTCTGCAGTCGAACTCGGATTTCACTCTCTGTACAGGGAAGAGATGGAGAGGTCTGTGAATGAAGGGGTTTGGGTCACAGTGCCTGACACGGAGCTGTGTGAGCAGTGGGTAAATCTTTGGGCTGCTCCGAGATGTCTGTGTCCCGGGAACAGGACACCTAGGTGTACCCAGGATGAGTGCTGCTTAAAAAGCAATGTTCCCTCCCTATATCACATCCCAGCCTACCCACTGCACACCTCCCAGGTAGAAACCCCAGGCCAAGCAGGTAGCTCCATCATAGTCGTCAATGACCAACCCCTTTCCCGACTGCCGGAACCAAGCTTCTCTCCGGCCTCCAGAGCCTCTTAAGCATTAGTGAAAGAATTCTAAAACCTGTACTATTTACTTAGCCATTCTGGCCTCCTCAGAAGTGGAAGGGGCAGGAAGTGGGTCATTTAACATTCTTAGTTTCAGATGGAGAACTGGCATCTTTCAAGGATTGGCCTAAAGTTCTGGGTGGTTGGTTTGTTCCTAACTTTCAAGTTACTGGAGCAATAAAGCCTGTGGGAAGTCTGGGCTGGTGGTGGAGAACTCCTGGAGCCTGTGAAGAATTCTGCCTTTTGCACGGCCCTGACTTGTGTACGATGCTGGCATGTGCATGGCACTGACACCTGCTGCCACCCTCACCAGATTCATCAAGAGCAGCTTTCCCAAGGACCACAGTTCTCTCCTGTAGCCTTCTCCACGGGCAGGTGTGAGAAATGCAAAACTGTCATAGAGCCCTTGTGCTATTTTTGCTCAAGGGCTTTTGCTCAGTTTTTGACACACAAAGGCCATTATAGCACATCTTGTTAAAGTCAACCAGGAGACCAGAAGAGAAACGAGATGCAGCGTCAGCATCTTCAAACAATCCACAGCAGCAGAACCAACTCCTCCCCAGGTCATTACTATGTGTTTTCATTCCTGCCTCCTCATTGGATTACCCTTCCCATCCTGGAGGAGCCAGCAAAAGATTCCCAGGATGCTGTAAGCTCAGGAGGGAAGAAATCGTGCCTGATTCATTCTTCTGTTCTCCCGTTTCTTGCCTCAAGCCTGAACACACGTTAGATGCGAGCCAGCAAAAGATTCCCAGGATGCTGTAAGCTCAAGAGGGAAGAAATCGTGCCTGATTCATTCTTCTGCTCTCCTCCCGTTTCTTGCCTCAAGCCTGAACACACATTAGATGTTCAGAAAATACCTCAGTGATAGAGCTCACCTCGTGTTTGGCTCCGTCCTCTGGTTGAAGAAGATGCTGAGAAAGAAAGAAAAGTCATTTTAGGCATATATAAGAGGTGGCATGCTAAATATTTTTGACATGGAGGTAGGTCTATTTGCAGGACAGAGAGATCATTTTCACAGTGTTTTTTTCCAGGTAGGAGTTTACATAGGTGGTGGATGCTTCATAAATGATGACCATATAATCAAAAGGCAGAGAAAGTTTTGCAAGGCCCCAGCGCATTTGGGGTGTTATCTAAATGAATGTTGTTAATTCATGCTCAAAGTGTTAAGTTAGCTAAGGTAACTCATTTGGGGGCATGATCCATGTGGACTGGCTGACTACACCCTGATCAAATGTATTGAAAGACTATTAGATCTTCCTTTAGTTTTTTTTTTGTTAGATTGTCCTGGTTTTCCTGCTACAGGCAAATAAATAAAATTATGGTCACTGTACAATGATCATATCATCCATTCATGTGCACACTGAGAATCCAAGACCACAGACCAAAGACTTAAGACCAAATGAAGATGTAGCCTTGGGTTTCACTTGGCATAAAACATGCCCCACTGAAGCCTGCCATGGTGGAGCTGCTGGGGTGCTTGGCATTTGTGGGTTCTAACACTGCCCCCTGCCCTTTCTCTTTGCTGGGAGGTCTCTGTGTGTCCTGTGGAAGGAAAAATCCTACACTTGCTGCTTGGCCTTAGGGCTTATCTGTCCAAGCCTGAGCCTTGTATAAAAAGCTTGTCATATTAATAGCGTCAAGAGCAAAGGCTTATGACAGCAAGTAAATGTGGTTGCCAGTCCCCTTAAAATGTTTCAGGGTAAAAAGCAAAAAAAAACAAAAAACAAAAAACAAAAAACCCCACCACCACAACCAACAACAGGTGAGCAGAGGTTAAACTCCTTTAGAAGAATTTGTTTCACTCATGACGTTCCCTGCTCGCCTCACCCCATGCATTTTCCCAGTGCCTCCTTTGACCATTTCTTCAGAAAATGAGGACGTACCAAATTCCTTTCGAGGGTACTCTGGAGAAGAGTTGCCACTGGAACTCCCTGGAGAGAGAGAGGATAAGACGTTTAGCACAGGCACATTATGCTTTATTGCACCTCTCAGCTGTTGTGTGTTTTTGTTCTGTTTTGTTTTTACAGATGGAAGGGAAGATCCTCCATCGGCAAAAAGATTATGACCAGCTTTATCGTGACACTTGCTTTATTGTGGTGGCCTGGAGATGAACTGGCAGAATCTCTGAGGCCTGCCTGTACCAATGGTCACTTAAGCCCAAATGGCAGCTGAGAGGGTGGGTGCTGCTGGGTCCCTCCTTTCTGCACCTCACATCCTGCATGTTCAGGAGGACGACAGGTGTTGTCCAGCAAGCTCTTGACTAAACCCAGCCAGGGCCTGTGGGACGTGGTTGTGGCTCTTTATTCTGGTTCCTGATTTACTTCGGTGAACAAAAGAAGGCAGGAGGTTTTATTTCCTTTTTTGCTTTCCCTTCCTTGACTGCGTTGGCCCTATACCTTTTTTGTTACCGCAGTGCTGGTGCGGGCGACCTATCCCCTGTCAGCACTAGGGTGTCTCTGACCTTGTGAAGGTCATCCTGAGTGTGGACCCTGTTAGAATGAAGGTACCAGCTCCCATGCAGACCTAGCAGCAAAAACCACTTTAGTGACACCATCCTCCTCACATAGATTTGGGGCTCCCTGAGACCCCCGACAGCTCTGGGTCTTAAATCATTTACTGGGCTATCCATCCCTTAATCCTGCTTCTCCATCACCAGTATCCTCCATCACCTGTTTGCTGCCTGGCTTGCCCGTTTTCCACCAGGAACACTAGTAACCTCAGGAGCAGAACCCAAATGCCTCCCTCCTGCCTCCTTCCCAACGCTGAGCACTTTCGATGAGGCCTCCTGTTCCTGGCCTCCCCGCTCCCCTCGAAGACCTCTTCCTCTCCGTGTCCTCTAGCTTCTTTTCTCTTTCTTCCACCAACTTTTTCTTTGCTCCCTTCTGCTTTGTATATTCTCTTCCCCAGCCGACTCCTTCAGTTTTCCACTTTCTACCAGCATCTCTTGGTGCCTGACTCCAAAAGGGATGTCCTGTCTTGATGTCTCTCTGAGCTCAAGTTCTATGAGTCCCCCTTCCTCCTCGGTACCCCCACCCAAAAGCCATGCCAGTGGCTCTACTTCAGGACCAAATAACTGAACTTATCTGCCTGGGGGCTCCACCTGGGCTCCCTGCTGCAAATGTTGGTGCCACCATGAACCCAACCACCTGTGTGTGAAATCTTAGCGGAATCGCTGACTCCTTTTTCTCCCGTTAAGATTAAAAAAATAAATGGGGACCAGCTTTGAAAATCCCCTGAGCAGACAAAACCAATTTCATCATTCAAACAAAGCTTAATTTAACATATTTTGCAAGACTCATTTAACCTGGGTCACTTCCTGCTTATGCCTCTGAAAATCATAAGCAAAACTTAAACTGTTTCCCAAGGTTGATTTGAAGTAACCACCGACCAATTCCCTATCACTTAAGACAATTCTAATAATATAACCAATCACTATGAAGCATAAACAGTCACTGTTTCCTCATTGCATAAGCCGCTTTGTAACAATATGCCCCGGAGCCTCACTCCATGTTCGGTTAGAGTGCTCCCAGCCTGCAAACTGCCTTTTTGGTGTGTGCGCAATAAACTTTTACTAATTATTACTTCAGTGATGCCTTGGTTTTATACTTCTGTTATTTCTGATCTTCTGATACTCCCTTTCTCCCAACATTTAATCAATTGTCAAACCTATCAATTCTACCTCTGCAGTACCTCTCACCTCCAGCTGCTTCTCTCCTCTCCCGCTGCAAGTCCCACCCTAATCCCGGCCACGTTTTCCCTTCCCTGGACTATTGAGCATGGTCTAATATGTCACCATCTTCGGCCCCTTGCCTCTCTCTTCTTGCATGTAGCTAGTCCTGGGTCTCAAATATGATTGACTGTTTTGTTCAAAACCTCTGTGGCTTCTCGTTGCATGCAGAATAAATTTCAAACACCTGAGCCAGCACCAAATCTGAGTCCCTTAAGCCCGCTTCACATAAGCACCACTGCTGCTTACTACTGAAGCCTGACTCTCCTTCCCGTCTTTGCTGTGCTGCTGCTCCCGCAACCCTGAACGTCCCATCTCTCCACCTCCAGGTATCAAAATCTTACACGACACAAAGGCCCAGTTCAGATGCCACCTCCCCTGTAGAGTTTTCCCTGGAGACTTAGCTGGAAATGATAATCCCCTTCTACTTTGCATTATTGTTTTTATCTGTTGTCTTGACTTGCCTATTAGACTATAGGTTCCTTGAAGACAAGATCCATGTCTGATTCATTTAAGAGTCCATCAAAGCATTCTGCAAGGTTAAAACATGGTAGCTATTTGAAATAATACCAGTTGAAAAAGTGACTAAGGATGAATGAAAGAATGAATGAAGGGGTGGGTAGGTTAACAAAATTGCCAACTAATATCAGTCCATAAAAGAAATGAAGAATGGAGAGAAAGGTGAGGGGGCAGATACGGGTGAATACAGGTGCCAATACTTCAGTCTTCAAGGATGAGTGAAGTTACATGGGGAAGAGAGTGGTTCTCTTTCAAATCCATGAGACTGATACCTTCGTATGTTCCATGGCGGCTGATGTGAGTTTTCCTTTCAAAGGTTGAACCCGGTGAGTTGGGCAAAGTGGAGGCAGGTGAATGAGCCCTCCTATAGCTAGAGGTGGAGGCGTTGCCTCGTGTGCTTCCACCTACAAGCAGGGAAAAGCGTCAGTCCTCACAGCACGTCAGCAGGATGACATCCAGTTACGTTCACTAAGTCTACCCAGGCTGCTCATAAGAAAAGAAGGCCCTGTGGAGGGGCCGGAGGAGGTCAGTACTGGCGGAGCCCAGTACTGGAGGAGCCCACCTCAGCATCCCACAACTGCTTAGAAATGGTGGAATTGCTCCTGCCCTTCCTTCCCAAGCTGACCACTGGAAGGCAGGGAGGTCCCTTGACGCACATGGCTACAGGGCATAGACATGGAGGGGCTTCGGCGGAACTTTTCTTAAGGGCCTGGGCTTTAATCGTAGATCACTGCTGGAGAGACTAAAACAATTTGATGTGGAAGGTTCCTAAACGGATAAGGGCAGGCGCTTCTCTTGGTCATCCTGGCCATTTGTCTGTCTTAGGTCTCTTTAGTGTCGCTTCGAGATTTTTTAAATGGCTTTATGGGTTATGTATGTGCTGGTTTTTTTTTCTTCCTTGCCTTCTTTTGTTTTGTTTCGGTGAGAGAGATACCATGAAAGAGGGTTTCATGGGGAACAATAGGCCTGTGTTGGATGCTTGCCCAGTGAAAAAGCAGTCTCCTCCCTATGAAGCCTCCGTAATTAATTATTGTTATTTATAGTGGGGACTTAATGAAAATTGAGCCCATTGTAAGCAGGCATCAGATGCAGATGCCTTTGCTGGGTTGCATGTACTTTACATAGCTCTTTGGGGCATTTGGAATGGATGACAAATAGTTTTGTCCTCTCTTTGCAGGATTCTCTCTCCCTGTCCATCTGCTCTTCCCCCGTCCCCTCCCACTAGCAGGCACTTACTTGAGTTTATGTAGCCGCTGCTACCATGTGTCAGGCTCTGTTTCTCCAGCCGGCTCCCTCCACCAAGAGAGCCTGTTTTAGCATAGCCGTTGCTGGTCCCCCCTTCTGCAGAAACGAGAAACAGGTGACAATTTATGGATGGAGCCAGCCCAGAGGGTCCTCTCATCCCTTGCCTCGCGGAAGCCTTCCCTGGCTTCTCAACCATGACCCTCTTGGTTTGGGATCCTTTTCCCTTCTATACCGCACAATGCAAACTGCCATACTCTTGTTTTGTTTGTTTCCAATATAAATATCAAGAGCAAACGTTCCACCCGATTTAAAAGGAACATCTTCTGGGGGGAGCCTAGCAAGTTGCTTATTAGAAAAATTTGAATATTAGAAAAGATAGCAAGGGGTGAAAAGCATCTTGAGGGCAGCACCTAGGTTGGGTTTGCTTTTTTCAAATGCCCGGTCAGTGCCCCTGACATGGCAGTCCCAAGAAGTGTTGGAGGGATGAGTGACAGCTCCGTGTGGCTGGTGTTCTGCTTGGCTGCCCATCATGTTCCGATCTCTAGTGCTGATGGGTGGGATTTTCACACACACCGCCCCCCCCACCCCCGCCCCCATCCATGTGCCAGGCTTCCTGGGAGGTGCAGGGGTAACTTGAGGGCTCAGGTCTCTATCATAGAA